ATATCTATATATTATTTCAACGAAACAATTATTTTAGCGGGATGAAACCGCGAGCGACATCACTAAGATGTTCGAGCCATCAGCACAAGGTGCGGATGCATCGGCCAACAACGGCGGAGCAAGTGGAGGAGCTGTCGATTCAACCAACACTGAACAAACCGGGGCTGGTGAGACAAGAGTACGAGAACCTTCAGCAGTCCAAAGTAATTTAGAAATGCCAACGAATACAGCAACGCCACCAACAACCGCTTCGACCATGTCGTCCTCCTCTACTACCTCTAGGGATGCGGGCAACAATAGCAATGACGTGACAATTGGGTCTGGTTCGGCGTCGCGTAAAACCAGCACCGCATCGGAGTACACGTCGCTGTCCATTGATTACATGCCGGACAACGCCATCACACCAACAGGCAATGAGCCATTTCCACAACTGGAAGGAGGCATGGACAAACCGCAAGCCGAACAGAAGGCACGCAGTTTGGCCATAAGCCGTGTGCAAATGTTGTTGGAGTCAACAAGGAGCGAAGCGAAACCGAGAAGCTTGAATTTGCCATTGAATCGTCAGTTGAAGATTGTGGAAGATTTGAAGCACACCAGAAGCTTAGATGACCTAAGCGAGGTGAACATTACGTTCGAGATGCCCCCCAGCAAAGCTGCCAAGCAGGCCACGGAACTAAACGCCAATGCCAATGCCGACAAATCCAAAGAGAGTGGCGTTCAACTGGGCTCAGTGCAGCCACCGGGTGCTGCCAATACGCTGGAACAGCTGAAAATCGAACTTGAGAATATAACACACGCGCATGCATTCGCCTCCGCGGTGGTTGCCTCCATTGGCAACAGACCCAGCACTTATCAAGCCTCGCCGGCAATCGCATCGATGAAAGGGCTCTCCGCTCAGCAGCAGGCCCAGGCAGACACAGTGGTTGGTAGTAAAACAAAAAAAAAAAACATAAAACTCTTGTTAATGTTGATACACGTAACTCGTAGTCTGCGTTTCCATTTGGCTTATCTTTCCTTTTAATATTATATGTATTATGTAGATTTGCGTATCTATCGTTTTCCGCATAATAATACTGCTTTTTGTTTTTGTTATTAATATTTGTCTTAAGTCTGGCGTCTCGTTACGTTTATTTCAAATATCACATTGCCAATAATTATATATAATTATGCATAAAAGGAGTTTTATTAGCGAGTACAAATCTAATCTCTTGTTACATACTCGTTCGGTTTGTATAAACCAATTTAAAAGGGAATTTAAGAATACCATATTCTTATTTTTATCTTAACTTATCTTTTTTAATTCTGAAAAAGAAAATATTCTCCAAATGAAGAGTTTTCAATTAGGTATCTAATATATTGCAAAAGGACCATTCTAACTGCTTGACAATTCCATTTCCTTTGCATCATTCTCTCTGAAAATTAAATTTAATATACTTTGTAAAACACACAGTGTTGGGCATATTTTGAAAGAAGTAAAATCCACGATAAAATTCACACGTAGTTAAATACAAATATAATCTTTTCTTGCATCCAGCCGGTTGGAAAATAAAATCGTGTATTTATATAGAGAGTAAGAAAAAGTTCTCAATCCGCACTGGTTTCGGGTATTCGCTTAAACATCATCATTTAATTTGGGCTGGCATTAACAGATATAATTGCGAGCTCATCTTATATTATTTATTAGTAAATGTCCACTGATTTAGCGTATGGTTAAAGTAATATTTGTAGTTGTATTGTTGTTGTGTTTTTTATGATTTGTTTACTTATTTACTAACGCTTTTCGTTTTGGCCAGCTTTAACCTGTTCTGTGTTTTGCGCTTGTTATCCATGGTTTGGGCGTTTATCTTTAATCCGACTCCAATTTTATATATTTCGATGCATAGATAAACAAGTCGAACAGCGTGGGAGGCGGCAGTGGCTCAGCGGCCTCGTTTGGCCAGAATACACCCACCGCAGCGCTGAACTCGGCCCGCGGCTCTTCCGTATACAATTCGCGGCGCACGTCCATTGACAACAGCATGGGCTCCGATATGCAACTGCCCGCACCGAACCTCAATGTCAACCCCGAGGTCGCCGAAAATACGGCAAGCGCTGAGGGTGGCCCCGATAAGAAGCTGGCCAAACAGGAAAGTCTGGATAAATTATCAAATACCTTGAGTGTAACTAGCGAGGCCAGAAATCCTAGCAATGGTGCGCTCAACCAGAGTTCCATAGCAGATCTGGAGAAAAAATTGGCTGCATTACGCAATGCGGATAACACAGAGGAGGTGAAGCCAGATACAATATACATTTTCGTTTCATTATATATAATATTTAAAATTGAAAATCCGTTTTACAGACGCCAGTGGCAACAACTGTGGCCTCTACCAAGCCAGCTGACGAGCCTGTGGCCACTGTCAATGCTCGGAAAATATCACGCTTCAGCGTAAGTCGCGTGCAGGAGCAAAAGACTTCCGCAGAGGTAACAGAATCGCTGCAACATCAGCTGAAGATCGATCTGCAGGTGGCAGGCTTGGCTGCTGGCCAGGTTCAAAACTATAATGCAAGCGGCTCTGTGCAAAACGGTACCGCAGTCAACACACCCACAGAGCTCATTAGTTCACCCATACAGAACGTTCCGATGGCCATTAATGGCATCCAATTGATATATCAGCAGCAAAACGCACCGGCAGGCGTTGGTGTGGGCGTGATGGTGCCCCAAAACCAAGTTGGGGCTACGCCACAACCATCAAATCTTCAAATGCAGCAGCAGCAGCAGCAGCAACAACAACAACAACAACAACAACAGCAGCAGCAACAGCACATGTACTCAAACATGCCACAGCGTCATCAGCCAGCATTAAACTCTCTGCCGCAAATGGTGAGCGCTGTACAGCAGCAACAACAAGTTCCTTTGCAGCAATTGCCGCATCAGCAGCAACAACAACAACAACAACAACATCAGCAACAGGCACAGCAGCAAACTCAGCTCATAGCACAGCAGCAACAGCAACCAATTATGCTGCAACAGCAACAGCAAGCGGCACAACAGTTTACGTTGCCAACATCACAGCCCCAGCAACAGCCGCCGTCACAGCATGCACCACAGCAGTATTTGCAGGCGCAGGCCAATCAAATGCATCAGTTATCGCCGCTGGTGATGGCCATGGGAGTGGGCGTTGGGCAGCCAATGCAACAACATCAGCTGGGCGGCATCCCAACTCAAATGTCTGCCTCGCATCAACTGCTGCAACAGCAGCAGCAGCAACAACAACAACAGCAGCAGCAGCAGCAGACCTTGCAACTGCAATCACATCTGCAGCAGCAGCCACAACAAACTGTAACATCCATTTACAACCAGCAACAGCAGCCAAATTTTCAAGTGTCTGCGGCGGGTCAGCTACTGCAACAGGCGCCGCTGGTAGGCCAGCCACAGCAGACAGCCCAGGCCATGCAGCATGTCCTGCAGCCGCTATTTAATCCAGCTGTTGCTGAAGGTAAATTTACACACCGTCATTGATTTACTTTTTAATCTACATTTTGTATTTTTATTGCAGTCGCAGAGGAGCCCGTGTCGCTGGCAGCCACTCATCCTCACCTGTTACCGAGCGATATTCAATCGGTAAGCAAGTTGATTTGTTGTCCACTCGTTTTAACTAAATGAATGAATTCATTTGCTTGCAGGACATTAAACACAATCTAGACTCATTGGTTAATCAGTTGTGCAATACACGATTGGGCACCAACCAACATCAGCGACTGCTGCTGCTGCGCCAACGGCAGCTGATTGAAGAGGACGAGCTGCGCCTTAAGCATTATGTGGAATACGAAAAGTTTCAAAAGGCACTGCGCCAATGTAAGCAGTAATTATATCCAAAGCCAGGCGTGTGCGTTAATTTGTTGTGTTTCCCGTTCTAGCTCTAAGCACAAACGCTCCAACTACTACCGCGTATTATTCTCCAGCTGCCGCACCGGTTCAAACCAATTTGACAGCACCACCAGCAGCAGCAGCACCGCCACCAACATCGTCAACTACTACACCCGCAGGCTCTTCAAATACATAAATATGAATTCATTTAGAATTGTCGTAGCCGCCGTTCCTCGTATTCATGACAAGTCATAAACATTGCTACCCAATTGTTCAGCAACTGTTCTGAACTGGCACGATTTCGATTTTGATTTAAAACAAAAGAGAGGAATCAGCATTGCATAAAATTATTGTTTTACTTTTGTTTTTGATTTTACCCTTTTCCCATTCTTTTTATGCAATGCTGTTTCCTCTCATTTGTTTTAAATCAAAATGAAGTTTTGAATTTTATTTAAGCAAATTGTAAATTTGATTAGCGCTAAAGTGTAAATAAATATTTCAATAATATCATATACACTCATACATCAATATACATACTTATTATTATATATATACATACTATATATTTTAAACAATTCAGTGATTTATGTTTTGCGTAGTTACTAAATAAATAAACTTTTATTGAACTTAAAGTAAAAATATTGATGTATTGATGAACCTGGTTCATTTTAGACATGAACCTCTCGCCATAGCGCCGCTGTTGACACAAATTCAAAACAAATTTCAATTAACTTTGTGTAACTTTGCTAATACATTTTTTTTAAATTTTTTTCCATTTGCATTTGGCAGTGAAATCTGAAAACAAAATAAATTCGAAATCGTATTCGATAGGTGCTAGTGTATAAAATATGAAATAACGTAGGTGTTGGAATATTGAGTTGAAATAATATGTGAAATCTGGTTTCACAACACTGTGCTGTAAATAATAATTTAACAGCACTGAAATGCACACAAACACTCAATTATTCAAAAGTTACAGTGACCTAGTAGGCTTTTGTTATTTTAAAAGACTTGATACTGAATTGCTTAAAGCATTTAGTCTCACTCTTGGTGCAGCCTCTGAACAAACAAGTTGACGCGCTCAGTAATCCAAATAATAAATATCAAAACGAACATAAAATAAAACTAATTGTTATTCTTTAATTGTGTGTGATTGGACACATATTTTTTAATATCGATATATCGACAACTCGATTGATGAAAAAAAAAACTTAACAGCCCTGTGCAGGCAGCTAGGAATTACAGTTCAGTGGCAAAGTAACAAACAAAAATACAAAATGGTCCTGGAAAGTACTATGCTATGGTAAATAAATGATTTAAACCTTAAAATGTTTATGCTAATTACATTTCCACATCTTTTCTTTTGCAGTTTTGATAACAGTGATTACCAGCGCAATGGTGACTACTTTCCCACCCGTTTAAATGTACAAAAAGATGATATCAACCTTGTCTGCCTCACCAAGCTGAGATCCAACCCAGAGAATAATGTTGGTCTAATGACCCTATCGAAGTACGCTTGTAGTGCTAGAAACTACTGCTGTATATTGAAATTAACGTTTTTATCTCTTTTCAGCACCGTCGAAGTGCTGGCCACACTGACCAGCGATGCGGGTCTCATATTCTCAAAGATGCATTTGATTCAGCCAAAGGGCGAAATAAACCTTCTTACCGGAATTCGTATTGCCTATTTGGTGTTAAAGCATCGCCAAGGTAAAAATCATAAAATACGCATAGTTGTCTTTGAAAGCAGACTAAGCTTCTGAAGAAGGAGAAGTTAACGTAGACATTGTAAGTTTTGGCAATCACGCAAACAACATTGAAACCTTGACGGCTTTTATAAACGCTCTGAACGGAAAAGATGGCACCGGTTCCCGTTTAGTTAGTGTTCCCAGAGGCTTGGCTTTATCAGATGCCTTATTTTCGTCGCCCATAATACAAGAAGATGGTATGGGTGCCGCTGGGCTCAAAATATATTGGATGTCAGCTGGATGTGTCTATATTCGGCCAAGTCCCTTTGTTTTATTCTCTGCAAGGGTAACTTATTAGATTAATTGATAAATTGGCTTAAATGTGTTAATATACACATATATCTATATATTATTTCAACGAAACAATTATTTTAGCGGGATGAAACCGCGAGCGACATCACTAAGATGTTCGAGCCATCAGCACAAGGTGCGGATGCATCAGCCAACAACGGCGGAGCAAGTGGAGGAGCTTTCGATGCAACCAATACTGAACAAACCGGGGCTGGTGAGACAAGAGTACGAGAACCTTCAGCAGTCCAAAGTAATTTAGAAATGCCAACGAATACAGCAACGCCACCAACAACCGCTTCGACCATGTAGTCCTCCTCTACTACCTCTAGGGATGCGGGCAACAATAGCAATGACGTGACAATTGGGTCTGGTTCGGCGTCGCGCAAAACCAGCACCGCATCGGAGTACACGTCGCTGTCCATTGATTACATGCCGGACAACGCCATCACACCAACAGACAATGAGACATTTCCACAACTGGAAGGAGGCATGGACAAACCGCAAGCCGAACAGAAGGCACGCAATTTGGCCATAAGCCGTGTGCAAATGTTGTTGGAGTCAACAAGGAGCAAAGCGAAACCGAGAAGCTTGAATTTGCCATTGAATCGTCAGATGAAGATTGTGGAAGATTTGAAGCACACCAGAAGCTTAGATGACCTAAGCGAGGTGAACATTACGTTCGAGATGCCCCCCAGCAAAGCTGCCAAGCAGGCCACGGAACTAAACGCCAATGCCAATGCCGACAAATCCAAAGAGAGTGGCGTTCAACTGGGCTCAGTGCAGCCACCGGGTGCTGCCAATACGCTGGAACAGCTGAAAATCGAACTCGAGAATATAACACACGCGCATGCATTCGCCTCCGCGGTGGTTGCCTCCATTGGCAACAGACCCAGCACTTATCAAGCCTCGCCGGCAATCGCATCGATGAAAGGGCTCTCCGCTCAGCTGCAACAAAAACAGCAGCAGCAGACCTTGCAACTGCAATCACATCTGCAGCAGCAGCCACAACAAACTGTAACATCCATTTACAACCAGCAACAGCAGCCAAATTTTCAAGTGTCTGCGGCGGGTCAGCTACTGCAACAGGCGCCGCTGGTAGGCCAGCCACAGCAGACAACCCAGGCCATGCAGCATGTCCTGCAGCCGCTATTTAATCCAGCTGTTGCTGAAGGTAAATTTACACACCGTCATTGATTTACTTTACTACATTTTGTATTTCTATTGCAGCCACTCATCCTCACCTGTTACCGAGCGATATTCAATCGGTTAGCAAGTTGATTTGTTGTCCACTCGTTTTAACTAAATGAATGAATTCATTTGCTTGCAGGACATTAAACACAATCTAGACTCATTGGTTAATCAGTTGTGCAATACACGATTCGGCACCAACCAACATCAGCGACTGCTGATAATAACTAACTCCAGATCCATATTTTCAATATAGAAAATATGGATCTGGAGTTAGTTATTAAGTGAAAAGTTTTCAAATTATGATAGGATTGTCTGTAAATATGTAGTCACACAGTTTTGAGTTGATTTGCCATTGTTTCGCTTATTGTTTTACCCTTTTCCCATTCTTTTTATGCAATGCTGTTTCCTCTCATTTGTTTAAAATCAACATTGGCGCAGTGCCTTTTGAAACTTTTCGTATTCCTCATAATGCTTAGGGCGCAGCTCGTCCTCTTCAATCAGCTGCCGTTGGCGCAGCAGCAGCAGTCGCTGATGTTGGTTGGTGCCCAATCGTGTATTGCACAACTGATTAACCAATGAGTCTAGATTGTGTTTAATGTCCTGCAAGCAAATGAATTCATTCATTTAGTTAAAACGAGTGGACAACAAATCAACTTGCTTACCGATTGAATATCGCTCGGTAACAGGTGAGGATGAGTGGCTGCCAGTGACACGGGTTCCTCTGCGACTGCAATAGAAATACAAAATGTAGATTAAAAAGTAAATTAAAGACTTATATATATACATACTATATATTACAAACAATTCAGTGATTTATGTTTTGCGTAGTTACCAAATAAATAAACTTTTATTGAACTTAAAGTAAAAATATTGATGTATTGCTCGCAAAAGCCATTCTTATGCCCTCAGTCGTAGTGTATTTTATATGTTATGTTTCACTATGTTTTTTATGATTATTTGCTTATATATTCGAAGATCTGTCACTCACCAACCTTCCAAACGAGCCGTCATAACATATCTTCTCATTTACAAATGCCCAGGACTGAAGAAAATAAATTCAAATAAATTCTGCCTGATGTCGCTGGATGGGTGTAAGTTTCTATTCAAGGCCTTGCCTTTAGCAATTATCAATAAAAGCATAACATTCATTTCGTTTCTTCATATATACATATGGAAATTATTTATTTGTAAATATTATAATGCAAACTTAAACAGTTTTTTTTTAAAGGGAAATTGATAAACACAATTGTATGATGAAAACAATATTAATGGAAGAAAAAATAACAAATTTAAAAGGAATGACATTATATTTCCCTTCTATGCCACGACATCCATGGTGTCTTTGATTTCGTTACCCCACTCACGGGCCATTATCATAATTTCGTTCATGGATAGTTTGGGGCCAATCAATGGGTTCATTTGCGTCAAGTAACAGCACAGCCAACTGCATAAAAAGACGATAAGAATTAATGGGATTTTCATAAGCTTTTCATATGTATGTGTATAGATGTGAAGATATATAGCTACATGTCTCATGGTCAAAAAGAAGAAACTTACAAGAGCCAACAGGTTACAGCAGTGAGCATAATACAGCATTGAGTCACGCTAAATAGAAATATAAAATTAAATATTTTTATTTGTGATAAATAACTTTAAATGAACTTACCCCCTGTTAGGGCCACGAGCAAGGAAAGGGCCTATGATGCCAATAACCGCCCATATAACGGTAATAATAAGAGGGGGAACGTAAGCATCAACCATTTTTAAGCACTTTATATAACTTAAGAGTAATACTGCAGGTCTGCCGTAATCAGCAGGTTTGTTGGTTGAACAGAAAACACAAAATTATCAATAAGTGATCACGAAGAAGGCACTTTTTCGAGCTGTATGAATATCACATGACAGCCATGGGACAGAAACATATGTTACTAGGGTTGCCAAACCTTAGCTTGATGAACCAGGTTCATTTTAGACATGAACCTCTCGCCATAGCGCCGCTGTTGACCGAAAATCAACACAAAATTCAAAATAAATTTCAATTAACTTTGTGTAACTTTGCTTATACATTTTTTTAAAATGTTTTTTTCTATTTGCATTTGGCAGTGAAATCTGAAAACACAAAATAAATTCGAAGTCGTATTCGATAGGTGCTAGTGTACAAAATATGAAATAACGTAGGTGACACATATTTTTAAATATCGATATATCGACAACTCGATTTATTCAAAGAAACTTAACAACCCTATGCAGGCAGCTAGGAATTACAGTTCAGTGGCAAAGTGACAAGCAAAAATACAAAATGGTCCTGGAAAGTACTATGATATGGTAAATAAATGATTTAAACCTTAAAATGTTTATGCTAATTAGATTTCCACATCTTTTCTTTTGCAGTTTTGATAACAGTGATTACCAGCGCAATGGTGACTACTTTCCCACCCGTTTAAATGTACAAAAAGATGGTATCAACCTTGTCTGCCTCACCAAGCTGAGATCCAACCCAGAGAATAATGTTGGTCTAATGACCCTATCGAAGTACGCTTGTAGTGCTAGTTACTGCTGCTGTATATTGCAATTAACGTTTTTATCTCTTTTCAGCACCGTCGAAGTGCTGGCCACACTGACCAGCGATGTGGGTCGCATATTCTCAAAGATGCATTTGATTCAGCCAAAGGGCGAAATAAACCTTCTAACCGGAATTCGTATTGCCCATTTGGTGTTAAAGCATCGCCAAGGTAAAAATCATAAAATGCGCATAGTTGTCTTTGTAGGCTCACCGATAAACAACGAAGAAGGGGAGCTCGTTAAGCAGGCCAAGCGTCTGAAGAAGGAGAAGGTTAACGTAGACATTGTAAGCTTTGGCGATCACGCAAACAACATTGAAACCTTGACGGCTTTTATAAACGCTCTGAACGGAAAAGATGGCACCGGTTCCCATTTAGTTAGTGTTCCCAGAGGCTCGGCTCTATCAGATGCCTTATTGTCGTCGCCCATAATACAAGGGGAGGATGGTATGGGTGCCGCTGGGCTGGGTGGCGCCGTATTCGAATTTGGCGTTGATCCCAATGAGGATCCGGAACTTGCTCTTGCCTTGCGCGTCTCAATGGAGGAGCAGCGCCAACGCCAAGAGAGCGAGCAGCGTCGCGACAATGCTGGAGCTGATGAAACTGCAGCTCCCCCGATAGCAACTAGCGGAGAGAGTGGCACAGGTGGCTCAGCCGTAACTCTTCCCAATTCCAACTCGGAGGAGGCGATGCTGCAACGTGCACTAGCTTTGTCGACTGAAAATCCAGAGGATAATTTACCAGATTTCGCCAATATGACCGAAGAGGAGCAAATCGCGTTTGCCATGCAAATGTCCATGCAGGATGCTGCTGATGATAGCGTTACCCAACAAGCCAAACGTCCCAAAACTGATGATGCGTCTGCCCCAATGGATGTCGATGAGGACTACTCGGAAGTTATTGGTGATCCGGCATTTTTGCAGAGCGTTCTTGAAAATCTCCCTGGTGTAGATCCACAATCGGAGGCAGTGCGCGACGCTGTTGGTTCTCTTAATAAGGACAAGGACAAGAAAAACGATGGCAAGGATGAACAAAAGAAGTGAACTCCTATCTTCAAGTTATATATATCTATTTAAATTTGCATTAAACAGAAATCATAAGTGAGCTAACATCTCTAATACAAAGTGCAGATTATGTTCATGCTTCTAATAAAACAAACATACATATATTATCACAGGGAATGTCCTTGTTGGTCCTCCTCGTTAAGCATGTCTCTCTCTAGACAGAAGAGATACAATCCATTGCGATAAAATTGCTCCCCCGGCAGCCAGTAAAATCCAATTAATAACATACGGTTAATATTTATTTACGCTTTGTGTAGTTAAGTTTAATGTATTATGATAACTTTGAATCTACATTTACAAGCAACATGGTAGTTATGGTTTTAAAGTTATCCAGTTATGCCGCTTACTTTCCACCCTTGTAGTCACGGATGTGGTAGAGAACCCAAGCCGGGATAAACAAGGACGCAGCGCACATGCCACCGCCGAGAATCACTTTCTCCTGGAAAACGTTAAATGAGCATGTTAAGAAAATCAAATTTAATGTAAGGGTTTGCCATAGATTGGGTTTACGTAACCCTCAAGAATCTCAAAATTTCTTACTGCTGTGGAGATGTGTTTCGTTGGTGGCCCGGAGACGACGGATTGGCATCGCCTTTGCATAGCTCCACGCATCGCAGGCACCAAAAGTTTAGCAGCACTATTTTGGAACATTTTTAAAATCACAATTTTCCTTCTTAGAAATCAATGCTGGTAATAAGTGCTCGATTGAGATGACAAAAACACATCGATAAGAATTTTGTGTTAGTGATGTTAAAAAATCGATAATTTTATGAGTGCCCATCCTACCAGTAAAAAAAATACCAAATTTTTTAAATTTTAATCGAACAATTTGAACAATTTTTTAATAAAAAACGTTATTTAAAGAATCGTTTACATAAGATCATAACGTAAACATAAAGCCCTTAAAACCCTTTTTATCGATTCAGCAGTTTATTGTTATTGAACTGAATGTTACAAATACTACTTAGAGTACAACTTCAATAAAATGTAACGGTAAAAATAAGGGATAATTAATAAAATAAGTGACATAGTATGAATATTTAATATATATTGATATAAAGTGTAACATTCACTATTAAAAAAAAGTGTTTACAACGGTTTGTGAACGCTTCCATTTATTGATAGTTCCTATACCTTTGGAATAAATAAGATCAATCAATTGGGACAAACATCGTCCGAAAGATAACAGTAGGGCATTTTTGATTTGACGTCACACTCTTCACTTCAAAATATACACATTTAATTCATTTAAATGGTTAAATTACCGCAAGATTTTTGTTTCTCTTTTGTAGATTTTGTTTCTTATTATAAACTATAATACATAGCTTTTAGTAAAATATTTGATTACAATATACTCTTTTACACCAGTACAATTGGACATAAGAATGAACTTGCATCATTATTTACTTTTCTATATTGAATTTACTAAGAATTATTTAAATAGTTAAGGCTTAATACTTGCGAGCCAGTTATTTGTTACGTTTTATTAATACACATGTGGTTCATTTCAGATCTACGTATTAGCATACATACATATGTATATACATACATATACATTGGCAATACTGGAAAACATCGACACTATTATAAGGCTGAAGCAGTAAGCGCATCAATTTTCGATTTACAGCTAAGTCCAATACTCGGAGCTAGCGTTATTCCCGTGCTAAGGATCTATTATTAAGTCTTGTCTGGATTCGCAGATTGAAGGACAATAAATATTGGATGAAAGACATGTAAGTAGCACTGACGGTTTTGAAAGCTTTGTTAAACATAATTAAATAAATATAACTTTATTACGTGACTTCTACATAATGTAAGAATGTAATGTTATGCGGAATGCTAAATAATCGTAAACAAGAATTGATTAATTTAAGCTTTGGAATATATAAACTTAATATTTCGTTTAGTTTAATTTATTTAAATTGGTTGTTTTCTATGAAATTTGTTGGTATAACAGGTAATAACATAACATAAAATACCTAAGTATGTATATAATTTGCAAAGAGCATTACAATCAAATAAATTAAAATAGTATATGTATATGTGTTGAGTACAAAGAATGTATGCTGCATTTTTTTCAATTATATGTTAATATCTAATTAGGTAATAAGTAGTTTCGTAACAATACAAACAATAGAATCGGTAGACAAAAACAATTTTATGTTTAAATATATGTATACATATGTATGTGCATGAGCATCTGAATATTCCTGTGTGCGCATCTCTTATTTTTAAGTAGTAATCTTTAAAGGACAGTAAGTGGAAAACATCATAAAAAATTCGCTTATTTTTTATGTTTACAATTCAGTCTGAAAGGCATAGTTGTGTATACACATTTTTATATCACCTATTTTGAATAATTAACTGTTTAATGTATCCTGCTTTTTGTTTATTTTAAAATATTTTTAAATGATAAGTGTTTTACAATATTAATTTCTTAAATTTAGTTTTAACCACATCTTTTGGTTTTTCATTACAATTTAGTTGTTCTTTTGCAATTGCGGAAAATGTTCTGTTGATTTCGTTGCGTTAAGTTGGGCAAAAAATATATATTTATTTCCGTATGTAAACAAAAATTTGGTACTTAATTGATCTCTTACTTTTAATTACACATTTGATTTTTTCATGCAGTAATATATATATATCAGCATTGTAAGGTTTATGTTATTTTTGCTTTTCTTGATTCTAACTTTTAGTTATGCATATGTTACTCATAGTTGCTCCGATAATATTATTGTTCTTGGCGCGAAAAGCTTATTCTTCATCCGTGAAATCGGAGCTATCGCTTATATCACTTGAAAACAATTCCAGCCAGTGATAATCGCGCCGATCGACGTATTCCCAAAGATAAATCTGCGAGAAATATAACGTTTAGTATTATACACATGTAAAGGATAAACTTTCGACTGACTATTGTTACCAAAATAGTTAATAACATTATTAAATTACAAAATGGACTGAATTTGCAAACCTAAATAATCAATTCAATTGCAAAATAGCCAAATGATTCGCCGACAATAAATAACAGTTAAAGAATAGATTACTTACATCAAGTAAATCAATAAGCTGATTCTGGCTATGCAATTTTCGAGCTCGTTTCGGCAAACCAACATCCACAATCTCGCCGTTGGGTAGGGCGTGTTTGTAAAAGCACTTGTTGCCAAATGGACACTTTCCTTCGCCTTTTTTGAAATATTTGCAATCCTTGGCACCGAGGGCTGCACGATAATCATTAAGCAGCTTATCTTTTTCCTCTTTAGTTTCAACCCAAAAGGCGCTGGGGCAGACAAAGTCGGAACACACGCGACATTCAGGACAAGCTCTGAAATATGTGGCAGAAAATAAGAGAATTAAAAGGTTGGATTCATGGATGGATCGCATTTGGCTTAAATATTTAAAGGTATGATGTGCTCGAAAGTATGCAATGCAAAATTGTAGTTTAAAGAACTATTAACGAGGTATTTTTCGAAGGACCACAATGATTTTATTTTATGTAGCTATGTCCATAGACATATATGAATTATTATTATCTGAAGCTATTTATTATAGAACAATTAAGCACATTTTGTATGCTGCACTCACCGCGTAATTTTATGTTCAAACTGTTTGGCCTGACGCCATGTACGGATGCATTCCAAGCAAAATATATGATTGCAGTTGGGCAGAATGCCAAATCGCTTCTCTCGTCCGGCTTTTTCCATAATGGTGTCGAAGCATATGCCACACGTCTTATCTTTGGACTGGGCAATCGCAAAGGATAATTCCATTGCCTGTTCATGCTGTTGCAAGCACTCGCGATTGTGTTTCTTACGCTGAGCTTGGTCCGTTGGATGCAGGCAGTATTGGTCGCACATCTCGCATAGCTCCAAGTGGATGCGATAGGGACAATACTCGCCATAGGGGCAGGGACTTTCATATGGACAAACCTGATCCAAGGAATGCGGCTCACCATGTTTAATTCCAACGTCAATGTCATTTGTGGACGGACCACCGACAATCTCCGCCCATGAGATTCCACTTTGCACAACGGCGCTGCTAGTAGCCGCAGCCTCATCCTCATCCCCGTTTAGGCATTGGGCTGTAAAGCTCTTCTGGCCGGGCACAAATATCGGCGCATTTGCCCAATTGCGACGACTCGTGCTAGGCAATACATCAGCATCAGCATCCGCATCTGCGTCGGCATCGGTGTTTGTTTTTGTATTTGTATTTGTGTTTGGGGCACGCTGCTCACCTTCGGGTCGGCCTCGAGTCAAGTCATGGGAGAATCGACAAAGGTCACCGAATCGACAAATGCCTCGCAAATAATATCGGCATATTGTTTGGCTTCGTCCAGGCACAACGTTTAAAATGGGAGCTTCTGCGACGCTGGCGGAACTCATTTTGCACATGCAAGAGTTTGTACAGATGATCTGACCAAACTAGACGTTCTGACCTGAAACGTTTGCAAATGTGATTATATCCTCGATAAACTCGACTTATCGATATATACATACATACATACATATATATATATATATATATATATATATATACATGCAAATGTATGCACGCAAGTGTGTACATATGTATATGTATATGTAGAGCAAACAAAATTAAGATGTCGCAATAACTCCTTTTTTTTGCGTATTACAATACAATGTATACAATATACGTATGAAGACACACACGAACTTTTATAAATATTTGCAATCAAAAACATATGTAAGCGTTCATTTATTATTTTTTTGATATATATAGAAATATGTATATAGATGAGTATATATACATATGTATCTACTTAAGAATATGAATGCACATGAACCTTTCTGTTCTACTTCGGGAACAAGCACGCCTACACTTTGGCTGCCTTGCGTACGAAGCGTTATAACTATTATTGTAACTGTTATTGTGTGGAGCTAAAGCTAAAAAGAACACTTGATTTTCTTACGTTATTATTTTTTTGTTGCAAATTGATGCTCACAAAATTTCAACTAAGGATGGGCTAAAATTAATGGTATATCGACCAATCTGATAAATTAAATTCGATTTTTTTTTGCGATAGCTAGGCGTTTGACAATTTTTTAAAAGTATGTCTGACATCTAAAAGTATTCCATATAAAATGTTTTCACTGTATAATTTACTTTTATGACAATTGAAGTATTATTTTTATTATTCTACACTTTTTTTTAACTAAGAACAAGTCAGCTATCGGCCTCAAATTAATTTGTATCGATGTCAACGAATTTGTTCAATTTTCCGAATCAGCTGATTTCTCCGATATTTGTTTTGCTAAAATGTCTCAGGAAAATCGAATTATTAAAATTATTTATTAAAAAATATGACTAGTGACAATGGAAAAAGATACGTTTGCGTCAGCTGCGGGAATCCGGCACGAGAATTGATCAAAAAATACAGTAATACTGTTAAGCCTACTCACTGTGTAAGTACACTCAAAAATAAATTACATATTTATATGTACTATAACTTCTGGAGATAATTCAACAGGACAAATGCAAGCAGATAACTGATAAATATATAGAGGTTGAAGAATTCATAATCCTTATAGATGCACTTCTTTTGGTTTCCGCTGCCTTCCGACACATGATATATAATGGAGACTTTAAGGTTTAGTCGCCGGCTCGTTAATACTGAATATTAAATACTAATATTACATTTTGGTTTTAGCTATATTGGAAGATTACACTTGTTGTCCTGCTCTTGGAATCGTTTGCGTTGTGTAGACAAAACACAGGAGATGGATCAAGTACTGCCCTATATGAAAAAGGGTTTTACATGTGCACGCTACAAAACATTGGAGGTAATATAACATACACACACATTAATTTTTATATTGTTACATATATGGAACTTTTCTATTTCAGAATATCTTTTGATTGCGCTTCTCTTGATTTTAATTACCGCAATTTTTAATATGCGTCAGCTGATCAAAGTTGGTCTACCGTCAGTAACATTAATTATTCTTAAAGTGGTGGCAATTTCTAATTTCTCAAAGTTCTTTCTCCTGCCTATATTGGTCTGGAGAAGTAACACAACTGATTTTGGACGTAACCTGCACTATATGTTGGTCACTGGTCATCACCTTTGCTCCTTAATAATGGCTTACAGTGTAGTCGGTATCAGCAACAGACATCTCCACTGGCTTACCATAATATTGGTAATTTGTGCATTTGCTATTAAGGAGTACGTTAGGTATTTAGCAGCATTTAAGATGGAGATGCATATATCTTAATAATAATACTATTTTAATTTTAATAACAAAAATATAGTCTGATTTATGATCCAATATATACTGACAGTTAGGCATTTAAATAAGGGATTAAGTGAATCGAAATTATAAGCTAAGTATATTTGGTATTAATTAAATCAGACTGGTCTCTCTTAGATTATTTTTATCGATATACAGCCCTAGTATTTGCACTTATCGGCCGAGCTCTGTCAATGTCGCATGCAGAATTTATGAGAATTCTTAAAATGCTTATTTTGCTTATTTCCATTATGCAAAATTGAAATTAACTTTGGCGAAAGCATTACTATTATCATAACATGAATAATTTCAATTTGGTAACAAATATCGCGAAGTAAATCAATATCAACGCGTATCTTTGAGCACGTAATGTGTGCTCTGATGGTCTAAAAATCGAGCAAACGTGTTATTTAATAATGTAAGACGCAACACAACAAGTGAGTGCGGGTATTGCAAGCAACTGTAAAATAAAAAGGACTTAAAACCAGGAAAAACTGATGCTGGCCTAATAAAAGGAAAATATTGGTAAGTCTATAGAACAAATAAAATGACCCACATACATACATGCATAAAATACATGTACATGAATATTATGCATGTATTGACATACACATACAAGGTGACTGCATTCTTGCCGCTAGCAAAATTATTTGTTACTGGACACAACTAATTTGTTTAAAAATTTTTAACAACTCTATCCCCAACATATGTATGTGACTTTATATGTACATATAATATGATAAACGTTGATTTTTAATTGCATTATAAACGAATATGACAGCTCATTCATGTTACCAATGTGACCGGCTAAATGTGGTATTTTTTAAAATATGTAAAAATATATTTTGTAATCACTTTTAAAAAAATGTATGCACTAAAACAATTGCAATAATAGAATGTGTTAAAATATGATTTAAAATTGCTTTTTGCAATTTGTATAGTTACAAATTTGTGAAGAGTAGTCCGAAGTTTTCAATTTAAAGTTTTAAATAGTATGCGCTTTGGTTAAAATGTGCAATTAAGGCATTTTGTACGTCACTATGCCTGGTCACACATACCATATAACCTAAAAAATGACAAGTGACAAATTTCTTTTTTGTTCATTTTAAGCGACTTAAACATTATCAACGGCAATATAAACCATTATCTGGAGTTTCTCCTATTGTAGTACTTTATTTGGCTAACGCTCTTACGTTTAATAATGGATTCGCCTTAAAGTGGATCTGACGTTTCCGTTTTCACATATGCAACGATGTAAATAATATAAGCAAAAAGTGAAAATTACAAACCAACAGACCGACCGCATTGGTGCACACATATGTACATTATTGTACATACATTTATTATAACTCCGCAAGGCAAAGATCACGTAGAGTGTCAAATCAAATGTCAGCTGCTACAACGGTTGTGTTTGCGAGTTTTGCTGTAAATCTCTGCACAAAGTGCTCAAAACCGCGAAGGACGGAGCACAACATAAACGAATTAATCGTTGAATAAACAGGAAACCGGGAATTTGACTACTGCGAGAGTTGAGTACAGATCGGCTTATACATAAGCTTGCGTGAAAAAGATGCATTCCTCATCTGCGGCGTCGAGCGCACTTGTGGAATACTCCGACGTGAGTTCGGAGGATTTCTCGGATCCCGAAGCAGGAGAAATTGATTCGGATGTGGCATTAACTGGCAGAGCTGCAATATCAACAGCTCCAAATAGAAAACCAGAAAGTCAAGGAAGAAAGCAAAATTCGGATGGGGTTTTGCGCGTTACAAAGAGCAATGACTACAGGTAATTATCTGTAAAAAGAAAATCCTTAAACAATATTTTATATATTGACTTTTGTAGGAAAAGGCGCGCTGAAGAGGACGATATGACGTCGATTCTTGCAGTTGGATCAAGATCAAGGCAAGTTTCAGTTGTTGCCAGCAGCGGTAGTAGGCTTAGCATCGCCTCTGTCAATGAGAAACTAAATCATCATCGTGCCGAAGTCACACTGACGCCAGTCAAGAGTTCAAAGGAGGAGCACCTGCAGTGGGACCGTGAGTTGTACATGTCTAGCGATACAATCGATACCGATGAGCTGGAAGCGGAAATGAAACGGCAGAAACGCAAAAAGCTGAAGAAGGATAAGCACAAGCATAAATCAAAAAAGAAATCCAAGAAGCGCAAGAAGAAGCGAGCGAAGTCATACTCTAGCATTGACTCCTTATCGGACAGCAACCTCAATACCTTGCTGGACAGGCACAGTCGGTATACGCCGCCAACGGCACCAAGTCGAGCCAAGAGCGCCGAGCGCACAGTCAGCGCTGCGCTGCCTTCATATACGCCTCACAAAGACAGTCAAAGCAGTCCCATATCAGTGGGCACTCCGCCCGCCCGACGTCCCAACAGTAATAACACCTATTACGGCGAAGCATCTGTTGCTACTCCAGTCACTCCCCTAGGCAGCAGCCTACAGGTAACGGTAACGAACAAAACGACTTCAAACAGTCGACATCGTTCGCCACCGGCACGTGTCGGCGTTGGTGGCAGCAGCCAACGATATGCCGCCTCTCCACGCACTCCTCCACAGTCACTTAATCACTCACATGCAGTCACTGGTGGCGCTGGTGTTGGTGCGCGAGACTCTCGTAGCTCTCGGTATGTGCAGAGCCCCCTGAAGGACGATTTAAATTCTCACCATCGCTCTGGCAATGCGTATGGTGGGCGCTATTCAGGGGGTGGATCCATAGGTGGGCAGGGCAGTAGTCTGGATGCGAGAAAACTAAAGCGCATGTCACCAGGTAAGTGCAGATATTGACTGATAAAGTACAAAATATTTAGTTGAATAATTTTTGGACCTAGTAAGCAAATAAAGTGGCAAAAAAGATCAAATAGAAACAACAAGACATAGTTCCTACTCACTAACTCAGTTTAATATAATTGCGCAAATGGAGGATTTTCGACCTAACTAACTACATATTTTTAAACAGCTCTTACAATCTAGGTTAGTTCGTCCGTCTGCCAGCACGAAATAGAAACATGATGAAATATTCCGTGGCTAACACTGCTACCGACTTATTTTTATTAAAAATATATTGTATTTATATTTTAAGCAAACTACAACTATAAGATTTGTATTTTTCAGAGTTGGACCGCTACCATCACCAACCAAGCACGCCGCCGCACAAGCGACGAAAGTATAGCGATGGACGAGATGCATCCTTGTCATCGTCTGTGGGTCCATATGAGCACGGCAGGCACCATGCTGTTAAATATGAACGCTACAGCAGAGATCGCTATTCAAGGCGGGTGTCCCGGTAAGGATTTTTTTTCTTCTAAAATTGAGAGCATATAGTGACTGTTCACCTATATAAACAGGAGTCCTAGCGTTCATCGCCTATCGCGCAATCGTCTATCGCCGGGCGGAGGAGGGACCACTTCAGGCAACAGTAATATGTATCGACAAAGAAGTAACAGTAGACATAAACACAACAAATATAACGCACCCCATTCGCCTTCCCCGCCCTTGCCAACGAGGTCGTCTTCCAAGCGAGGTTCAGGCAGTGGCATGGGCATCGCTGTTGACCGCTATTCGTCGCGTTCACCAAGGCCTAGTTCACGCTACTATGAGGCATCGCCGCCATCACCGACAGCCGCTTCAGCGTCGACCTCGCATCATCATCGACGGTCGCCAAGGTCCCATCAGCATCATCGCAACAGCAGCCGAAAACGCTCCCCCAGCTCAGGCAGCAGTCGTAGCACCCGGTCACGTTCCCGGTCGCCAACATCGCGTGATCTAAAGCATAAGCGCGATGAATACATCAAAAAGATAAGCGAGACTAGCTTATTTGCCGAGTTGGTAAAGGATCGCCATAAACGGCAAAAAGCGTTGAAGGAGATAATCGAGCGACAGGAGGAGAACAGCAACAGCAACGGCGCCTTGACCGTCAACGAAAACAGTTCCTCGGTAGATGGAAATACGCCCAACGTTGCCGACAATCGATCAGCATCGTATATGGCAGCACAATCGTCCGCTGGTGCGACGCCAAACGGAATTGTCAGCGGTGGTAAGCCTGATTTGGACGTCAACAACATTCCTATGCCAAACAGAGAAAATGATGCACTACAGCTAAATCCGACTGTTGTTAGTGCAGATGTTACTGATGCCTCTCCAAGGGCAGTGGCCATGCCCATTAAAATAAACGCCAATCAAAAACCGAAGAGTCTTACGGCCTTGCCGATGCCTCCGGGCATGAGCGCAGCCGATTTAGAAAATGCACCCACGCCATCGCCGCCAGATTTAAGCAAGCAAACAACACCGAAATCAGCTAAGAAGCTGTCGCCAGATGATAGGAATCTAAATGCCAATGTCAATAAGAGCCTTTTGAATCTGCCAATGCCGCCCGTTATACCGGGCAGTGAGGAGTTGAGCGGCGACGATGATGTCATCGACAGTCCCGAGGACTTTGATACGCCCAGTGGCAACAGCATGAATACGAGTGCTAATTCAAATGCAACACAGGCTGCAACGCGTCGACGTCCAGTGATACTCAATCGGCGCGACTCACGAAACAATGTGCGGGATTGGGGCGAACGATGTGTGGATGTATTCGAGGTGATTGCACAGATTGGCGAGGGTACATATGGACAGGTATGGGATGGGAAAATCTTACGTTTCTTTACTGACGATTACTAATATATGCATTTATTTCATCAATTGCAGGTGTATAAAGCGCGAGATCATCATACCAACGACATGGTAGCATTAAAGAAGGTGCGTTTAGAGCACGAAAAGGAAGGTTTTCCCATAACGGCTGTGCGCGAAATCAAAATATTAAGACAACTCAATCATCGCAATATTGTGAACCTACATGAAATAGTGACGGATAAGCAGGATGCAGTTGAGTTTCGCAAGGACAAGGGATCCTTCTATCTGGTATTTGAGTACATGGATCACGATCTCATGGGTCTTCTAGAGTCTAACATGGTTGACTTTAACGAGGAAAACAATGCGTGCATTATGAAACAGCTATTGGATGGCCTCAATTACTGTCACAAAAAGAATTTTCTTCATCGGGATATAAAATGTTCCAACATTTTGATGAATAACAAGTATGCTCAAAGCGACATACCTTGGATTCATTTAATTCCTCTGTTTAATTATTATTGTTTGTGTTTTCAGGGGAAAAGTTAAATTGGCAGACTTTGGCTTAGCCCGACTGTACAACGCCGAGGACCGTGAGCGTCCCTATACGAACAAAGTCATAACGCTTTGGTATCGCCCACCGGAACTGCTGCTTGGCGAGGAGCGTTACGGCCCGTCCATAGACGTATGGTCTTGTGGCTGCATCTTGGGCGAACTGTTCCTGAAGCGCCCGCTATTTCAGGCAAATGCAGAGATGGCGCAACTGGAAACTATATCCAAAATATGTGGTTCCCCGATACCCGCCGTTTGGCCGAACGTAATTAAGTTGCCGCTTTTTCACACGCTTAAGCAGAAAAAAACGCATCGTCGACGTTTGCGTGAAGATTTTGAGTTTATGCCAACATCAGCACTTGACCTGCTCGATAAAATGCTTGACCTAGATCCAGACAAACGCATTACGGCAGAAGATGCCCTCAGATCGCCTTGGCTAAAGAATATCAACCCAGATGAGTAAGTTCAACCGAATAACTCTCAACCTTATCGACTTGAAAGCAAATACAAATATATTATTTTTCATATTTAACAGAATGCCAATACCACAATTGCCTACATGGCAGGATTGCCATGAGCTTTGGAGCAAGAAACGGCGTCGTCAGCTGCGCGAACAACAAGAATCGCTGCCACCAGGTGTAATTTGCTCAGCTAAGTATCAACAACACGGAGCCACGATGGTGGGGGATGCCTAGCATTTACTCTATGCTTCATATTTTAATGAAGAGGAAGACTATAAACAGCGAGAAGTGGAGTGTGCCTGGTGGCAAAGTTAATACCTAAGTTTGTAACGAATTATATTAATAGTTGGCAGGCAGAATCAGTTCGGGTTGACATGCTCTACCAAAGCACTCTATTCTTTAAGTCATCTCTTAAACAAAATAACTAAAATAAGATAACATTTAAATAGTGATGAATTGCTACAAAATGAGCATTTCGAATTGACCGGTGTATAATATTGTAATATGTATATACTATTTACTGCTATATTCAAACAAATAACCAATTGGAACATAATTTGTTTATAATTTTTTTTAATGTTTAGACTAATAACTTACATACATATTGGCAATAAAAAAAGAGCACGAGAAATAACATAATTAATCAATCTGTATCGAGTTTTGTTCACATCAACTTTTATTCTGTTACAAAATTTGACTGTTTAATGCTTTTAGCTATGACGTAAGTTTTTAGTTTACAACAAATTGGAAAACAACGCTAAAATTCAAAATAAAAGCGAGGTTTTGAAGCAGTTAAAGGTTAGCATTTTACTATTAAATAAATTGTTACATATATACTAACATATATATGCAGAATGATAATAGACATGCATAGAATATACATAATACATAACGTTACAAATAAGTTAGTAGTAATAGTATTATTATTAGCTTAGCAACATACTCATGTTGTCCGAATAAAGCTATAAATGATTATTTTGTTAGGTATATTTAAATAAAATTGTAAAGTTAATGATGAATTTATCAAGTAAATGTGTACTAAAAAAAACACCCATACAAATATTTTAAAAAGCTTATATTTTTTAATACATAAATCAAGCCGGATAAGAATAAATGTGTATAAAAAGTACTATATAATAAAAAAATCTGTGCGAGACTGAAAATAATTGAACACAAAATTGTGCAATTTGAATAATTAAAGTTGTAAAATCATAAATGATGAATTTCAAAACCAAGCACTAATCTCCCAAAGCGTAAATCAAATGGATTTATTTGGTTTCCAAATCATATTTGTAATAAGAATATATCGATCTGCAAATCCGTTTACACAACATAAATATACATGAAATGCATTATTAACACATGTACGAGATCATATATTTCGGTTTATTTTGAAGAAATGCAATAATCGAACGTAGACAAAGCAATGCTGTGGATTAACGAGTGCCGTATAATCAATGCTACAGTTCTGTAATTAAATGGTAAATGGGTTTAAATAAAGTTGCCTAATGTTTAACGACTCTACCGGTTTTGTTATAATCGTTTACAAAAAAGAGAACTGACAAGAAATATATTTTTTTGATGTACATGTAGAAAACCACTTGTTAATGTGGGTCAAGCGCACGATTATCTCGGAAGTATTCTGCATTTTATATAAGAAACAAATATATGCGAAATAAGAATAAACAATTGTCTTCAGGGTTTACCAAAGATAGGTTGTGTATCTAAAGTTTTGAAAATTATTTCCTTTCAAATAACTCACTTCATACATAGTGTTTTCCGTCAATTTCTTGGTTTTTTTTTTGTACGAAAAAACACTATCAATGAAATCTTTACGAAATCCACTCAAACCCGTTAGCTGTTCCTAGAATATATTTATTTTTCATCCGTATTCCTTGTTTACTCCGATTTGAGGCTATCGATATAAAATGATCTAAATATATCGATGGCTGCGATAACGATAAAGTAGTTTGCTCAGTGCGCTTAGGGGCGCCTGGACTCTTTATATAATTTTAGTGTTTTCCAACACCAGCAAGTTGGCGTTCTTCTTTTTAAATGATTTTTGGCTTGTTATTGTTTATTTATGAAAATAAGAAAGCAAAGTGCAAGTAAATCAAAGTAAACTATGCTACCATTCCGGAATTATGGAGAAACAATCGATGTAAATATGATAATATGAAATGTGATGGTGCATACCGTAATTTAAATAAATTTCTTTATCTTTAGGAGTACGAAGTACAGCACCTGCTGGGCAAAGGAGGCTTCGCGTGTGTTTACAAAGCAAAATGTCTGCGATCGCATCAAAACGTGGCTATAAAAATGGTAATTATGTTTGTTCTCCAATTACTTAGTATATATACTAACTTTCAATAATCGGGCAGATTGACAAAAAGCTCATACAGGGCTCGGGATTATCGAACCGAGTTAGGCAAGAAGTGGAAATTCATTCCCGCCTGAAGCATCCTTCTGTGTTGCAGCTGTATACGTTCTTTCAGGACGCCAATTATGTGTATTTGATTTTGGAACTGGCCGATAATGGTGAACTGCATCGTTATATGAACCAGCAAATGAAGCGTCCGTTCACCGAAGAAGAAGCGTCCTCCATTCTGCGGCAGGTGGTAGATGGTTTGCTGTACTTGCACTCACACAACATCATGCATCGGGACATATCGATGTCAAATTTACTGCTTAGCAAGGACATGCACGTCAAAATTGCTGACTTTGGCCTGGCGACACAATTAAAGAGGCCAGATGAGCGGCACATGACCATGTGCGGCACTCCAAACTATATATCACCTGAGGTTGTTTCACACCAGTCACACGGCTTGCCAGCGGATCTCTGGAGCGTTGGTTGTATGCTCTACACGCTCCTGGTGGGGCGACCTCCGTTCGACACTGACGCCGTACAGTCAACGCTCAATAAAGTGGTGCACTCCGACTATACGATTCCGGGCCATCTGTCCTATGAGTCGCGCGACTTAATCGATAAGCTGTTGAGGAAAAATCCACATGAACGCATCTCACTTGAGCAAGTTCTCAGGCATCCATTCATGGTAAAGGCCGGCGGAAGCACAATATCGTACACAACGCCTGGCGCGTCTGACGGCTATAGTCAAAGTATTGTCAGCGGAGACAGCGGCATTGTCACATTTGCCAGCAGTAAGCAGAATAGCTAAGCTTAATAGCCGTATATACTATAATTACCCATTATTCCTAGATGATTCAAAAAACTCACATCGGCTACGTTCGGTTGAACAACAATCCACACCACAAATGCTGCCACAGATCCAGGAAGAATATGGTTATTATCAGAAGTACGCGCCACATGCAGCGTACAGACAAAGTTCAACGGAGACGTTGGACAGCACGGAAATGGACTGGCAGAGGATGGGACAGAATGCACAGAAGGCTAATTTTTTGGCACACTCCACGCCAGCAGCGCCTGTACCTGCTGCGGTCATTCCAAAAGCTGGAAAGAACAATAATGAGCGCATTTCCGTGCCCCCATTAAACACGCTCAGATTGCAACCAACGCGGTACAAGACAAAAAATGCAATCATGAGTATTGTGGCAAACGGCGAGGTAGTAATTGAGTTTATAAAGAGCAAAAGTAAAATGAATGAAGATCGCATCATTGATATTTGCCGCATATCCGGCGATGGACGCCGCATTATAATACACCAACCTGATCCTGGGCGGTAAGAAAGTAAGCACTCAGTGCGTATCAACATATATATAAATAATTATTTTCAGAGGGCTGCCCATACGAGAGCAACCGTCGGAACCCCATTCAAGCGGCATGGATAACGTTTATAACTATGATAATTTGCCCAGCAAACACTGGAAGAAGTACGTGTACGCTGCGCGATTCGTGGGCTTGGTAAAGAGCAAAACACCGAAAGTGACATACTTTAGTACATTGGCTAAATGCCACCTAATGGAAAACATGGCTGATTTCGAGATGAATTACTATTCGGGGGCCAAATTGACCAAGTCTCCCAGCGAAGGTATTAAAGTGCTTGATATCCACAGCGTACAGCTTTTGGATCAATCGAGTTCCGAAGCAAAACGATTGATTGAACACAGCAACGAATGTTTCGCCCATTGCCTGAGCATCTGCAATGCACTGGAGCTGGCACAAACAGGCAGCAATACTTGTTTTCCCGTAACGATTGGACGACGACCCATTGTAAATACGTTGCCCTCACAACGGCCTGAGGGACTTAGGGATACAACAAATTTTGCGTATTCCACACCAAAGTCGCAACAGGTAATTCAAAATGCAGATTCATTAAATCCCCATTTAATATACAATTTCGATATTTCAGGGCTCAATAAACTTTTCCATTAGCACCATCTCATCGATGCGCAGTGGGAGCGATAATATTGGATCCCAGCTGTTAGCGTCCCAACAAAACGTCCCCATTAAGCGGTTGAACATACCGGGCATAGGCACTGCCACAGAGGTGGGTTTTAATCTGTATATTAATTAGCGGGATTAACAACTGCTTTGATTTCAATTTCAGCTGTCCCATGGAATTGTGCAAGTCCAATTCTATGATGGATCAGTCATCTCTGTCATACCTGAGGCGCACGGTGGTGGCATAACATACACGCAGTCAAACGGCGTCTCTACCCACTTCCCCGACCATGACGACCTACCATTATCGGTAAGGGATCGACTCTCGCAGCTGCCCCAGGTGCAGATGAAGTTGAGGTGTGCTCCTCTGATCAGTAGCAAAAAGTTTGACTGCAATGCGATGAACGCCAAGTCGACGGCGTCTGCGCCTTGGTACAATCGTATGCTAATCTAAAGCCCATATTCTACAATATTTTTTTTTAAGAAAAAAGTAAAATTTATTTTGTATTTTAAGATAGCTTTCATGTTTTATATGAATATATATATATTTTATATTTGATATTTGATAGCACGATGCTATATATTTTGATATACGTATGTTACTAAAAATTGGTACAGATTTTGCTTACCAGTTTCCGTCCGAGACGGAGACCTATGTATATATATAACAAGAGAGTTTACAATATGTAAACAACATAAACATATTAATTCGAATCGATTGTTTTTGCAATTTAACATAAGGATATTTCAAAATTAAATAATTTCTAAGAGTTCACATCTAATAAAAATTAAATTTATGTTGCCTCTGAAAATAGCGTAAAATACTACTAAATTGACATCTGAATCAAAATTTGTGAAAATCGCATAGAAAGGTGGTTATTAAGATAATGTTAGGGCAAGCAAGTGTAAATATGTCTGTTTTAAATGTATTTTTTCTACAATATCATAACAAAACTAACCTCTGTGCTACTCAAACTCTTAATCTTATCGCTAAATCTTATTTGCTATATTATAATTAATATACATTGTTTATTCCACTCATTTGTATTGAAACGGAAAAATTCCATGTTCACTAGTTTAAAAATATCGCTAGCTATAAAGTGCGCATAACTATCGATATAGAACTCAAAAAATCGATATAATTTTAACATCACTAGTATTTTTGGTAGATACAAACGAGTTTAGTGTTTTTGTCAGTGCTGAACAGTTTGGTTTAAGTTTGTTTTATTTTAATTCTGAGCTTACAAGCACAGTAAATAAATGTGTGCGCAGGAATTAGAAAAGTTGATCATAAAATTCAAATCAATTACCATATACGAATTGCAACATATAAAACCAAATTTTTATACACTGATTGGCAAGCCTCTTTTTGTTAAGTCGCGCACAGTCTGGCCCACGGCTCAAAAACTGGTTTGAGTTGACTGCGTTCGTGCGTACAAACACCTCCATACACATTCATTCAGCCACACACACACACATACTTAAAGTCACCATGTTCGTACACATGTAAACAAAATAACCGTAAACAACATAGTACCAATCCCGCGCACTCCTGCTTAAAACCATAAACTTGCTTGTGAAGTACATACATATTTGTTGATTTTATTTAAAAATAATCATACAAAATGCGTAAGTTTTATTTTATTATTAATTTTTATACATTTATTAAGTGACCTACTTAGTTAAAAAAAAAAACAATGTAATTGGCATAAGCCCGTTAGCATCTTTATTTAAGTATGCAAGCTTTTAATAAGACTGCTCGCCCTGGCAATGTCCTATATTTTGTGCTCTTTTACATATACATATGTACATATACATAATTGAATTTGATGTCCTGTTCATATGTTCATGTGTACATATTTATAAAAATGAAATTTCGTCGATTCAAGAATTTTGTTAGCAGGCCCCTTAGAAACCCCCGCAATTGAGAAACAATCCTTTAAATTCCAGAATTTTAAAGTAAAATGCGCACATTTTACTCATCGATTTACGTGATCTGTTTTAATATACTTGTAACTTGCACTTTGGCCTTCCTATTAAAACTATCCTTACATGGCATTCGTTTAATTAGTTAAATAAGATGTAAGCCCAATTATTGTTTTAGTCGCAAAGCTTGTTAAAAATTAAAATCCGTTAAACTATATAACATCTTTAATGATCCATCTTGTGTCTTGGATGTTAAGGATGTTTAGTAGAGCCTTAAGTATAGTAGCACTTAAGTTTTTCCCAAAGTCAGTGCTCATCTGATCTCTAGTTCAGCTTCATTCTTTCCAATTGAACTAAGTACATACTTACATATGCATGTGCACATATTCATACGTATGTGTGTACGTGACCTCTTAATTAACTACTTCAATTGAATAAGAAGAGTCTGTGATGTTTTCGAGCTCGAATGACCATTGTCAATAGCAGTTGGACAACAGTGCTGTTGCTCTCCGTAATGTGAAAAGAGAGAAACTGATAAAGTGTGCGTGTGTGAGATAAACGGTTCTTGGTGCTCGCTGAGCAAACAAACTGGCTCCAACCGCACCTCAGTCCTCAGTTCGTTCTCACACAGAGGCGGTCAGCTGCGAGCACGAGCACAGAATGGAGTCGAAATGAACTAGCTGCTATCTCGATTATTGCTCAGTGAGAAGGGCTCACTAGATACATACAAGTAGTATACGCAGGCTAGGAGCAAAGCTTCAGTCTGACTGTTTTCGGTGACGTCGAAAAGTGAGTGTGATTCACATTTTGTGCAAGTTTCGTTGAAAAAACATGCAGTGCGCGCGTAGAGAGCGTTAAACATTGTTCATTTTTGGCACCTGTTAATATCAAAAGCTGCACGAATACTGTGTATCCACTTAAAAGGTCTCGATTCAATAGATATTCCTTTGTGCAATATGTCCGGTAAAGGGAATAACAATAATCGCGATCGCGTACGAGATCCACGCGAAGAGATTCTGCTCGAAACAAACTTTGAAGATGATGGTGGGGTGCTAACACGCGCCTATAACAATAATCCCTATCAGAATCGGCGACTCAGCGCTTACCAGTCGGAACGCTCCTTGGATAGGTACACTGAACGAGGTGGCGAAGGTAGGACGACAGTGAATCTAAGTACATTTATTACACAGCACATAACGGCTCACGCACAATTGTTCGTATTTGTCCACATTCAGTTTCGTGCGCTTTATCACAGTACCTTGTTCTTATCTTGTCTTTATACATACATATATATATGTTACATACGTATATATATGCTATGTACATATGTAACTTTGCACCTTCGTCACTCAGTTACAAAAATATGTGTAACTTATATGTTTATAGATCGTAATATATTTGTTGTTTAAACAAGAGTTTGCAATTGATCCGAAATTTAAAACAAAAAAAATATATTTTTTAACAACTTCTGATCACATAAATGTTCTAAGACTCATTAAAATTGACAAATTAATTTTAAATGTATCGAACGTATTTATTTTTCATTTTTTTATATATAAATATAATTTGAATTTAATTTTAATGATTGTTAATCCTTTCAGCCGAGTGTTGTCAGTCATGTATGGCACGCATACCCTATGCAACGCTTATAGCGACGCTCATGTGTCTGCTCGGAGTTGGCATCTTCTGCGGCACAATGTACCGAGGTGCTTCGCTTACGGTTATTATGATGGATCAGGTGTTTCACCTGCGTCTCATATGGTGAGTGTGTGCATTCTGTCTTAGTTGAATAAATATGTCTTTAATACAACATACATATTTCAGGATCGAGGCTGTGCAGATGATATTTGTCATAATTGCCGCTGGCATGGCTGCTCTTGGCTTTATGATTCTGTTTGTGGGCTTTCTAGCAACGGGTGCGACACGCTACAAAGTTTACCGCGCGTGGCGATCACGCGTCGGCGGTCGCATCTCCTGCGCAGTGCTTATGGGCATTACGTATGTGCTTAACTTCGTGTGGACGCTCATTTTATGCTTCTTGGTTATAGTAACGTTCATTTACACCATGTTCTGGAACATGTGCTCAAGTGTGGAGCATTCTTTAAGCTGTATTGATTTGACACAATTTCGTAAGTCGACAAGCGAAACATATTCAGATCCGGCAGATAACAATATATACACAAAATAAACTTTGTTCTCTTGTAGATTTCATGTTTCCGCCAAACACCAAGCTTGAGGACATGAAGGTTTGCGAAAAGTATGAGATCAAGGCATTCTGCAAGGATGGCGTTGAGAACGCTGAAGTCATGTTTATTCTGGCCACGCTTTCTACGCTGTTGGTCATTCTCAGTCTTGTGCACTATTTGATGTGTCTTTCGGCCAATTACGCGCACATTCGTGACCATGAAAAATTCCAGGAACTGCAGGAGATACAAAATCTAAACGAACTTGAGTATAGCGCCACTTCCAAGGATCGCTTCTAGGATTTATTTAGAACTATTCAATTTGAGCTTCATCAATAATAAGAAGAAAAAAATTGGCACAATGAAGCACAATGACACAGTAATGCAACGAAATTTAGCTGTAGCGTTAAAACTTTGTTTTTTGATTATATGCATATTCCAATTTATGCATTAGATATTGGTTAATTTATTGTTCTGTATTTTTAATATAACTTTAGGCCAGTAACGACGTCAACGATACGCAAATTGTACACACAGAATTGTAATTATATTCATCCTTTTAAGCAATAACGGTGTTACTTGTCCCCCACCGTAAAACATTCAAAATTTGAAGTGTTCATTACATCAATAGAGTCTACTTAACTATCTTATGTCCAAATGTTGGTTCACTTGACATATACATAGGTTTGAACCAAAGTATATATTTTCCGTCCACAAGTTTTTATTTTTAATTGGCTGAACTTTTTTATTTACCTTGAGGTTTTATACAGTTCACATAACTATTATAAGATCATTCAAATATTTGTACATTTTTACGTACATATGCTTATTCATACTTATATATTGACATAATTTACATATGTATATAACTACATACAAATAAAGCAATTTTAATAATTTACGCCTGCTCTACCAACAATATAAACATAACTATGTCTAAAGCCAATTATAATTTCAATTTTGTTTTCCAGTACATATATTTAAAATTTGCGGCCAAACTCGTCACAAGTAATAACGAGGTGCATTTATTGCACTATCGATATATTTATAAAAATACATATGCAAGCGTAAATATGATAAAATGATTCAATTTGGCCGGTTTGTTTGTTTACTAAGATTCAAGAGTTTCACCATTATAAATGGAATTATTGTTTTTACCTAATTTGTATTGCATTTACTTATTCCGATTGCAAATACAATGCCAGCTGTTCAGTTCCATATGCTTAAATTTATCGATAGTAATCGATTGCTTGTGAGCTCTAATATGCAAAAAAGTTAAAAATTATAATTATTAATATAATGTTGCGAAAACTCAATTCACCAACAACTATTTTCGTGGTAAGTAGTTTTAGAACAGTTTACCTATTATTATATTGTCATTTGGAATACATTTGTGAAAAATGACGTTTACTTCATTTTGCAGCGAGCAGCATCAGCACGCGTCGAAAAGTTGGAAGAAATCCGAGAACGACTATCAAAAGGTCAAAATTTTCAAGATTTTATACAAAATTCAGACAATGTTAAAGATGACTGGGAGAATTACGAGGGCAAGTTGCGTCGTGAAAAAGGAGAGAATCAAACCTTGCGCTTGCCGCCATGGCTAAAAACGACAATTCCAATGGGCAAGAATTATGCTAAAATTAAATCCCAGCTTCGAGAACTCAAGCTGTCCACTGTGTGCGAAGAGGCGCGTTGTCCGAACATTGGCGAGTGCTGGGGCGGTGGCGAGCATGGCACACAGACAGCCACAATTATGGTATGACCTCTGACATTAGCTGATAGCATAACGCTTTTTATTGATTACAACAGCTCATGGGAGACACTTGCACGCGAGGCTGTCGATTCTGCTCGGTGAAAACGGCGCGTATCCCACCGCCCTTAGATGTGAACGAACCTGTTAACACCGCCAAGGCAATTTCGTCTTGGGGCCTGGATTATATAGTGTTAACATCCGTGGATCGTGATGGTATGTTTCAACTTTCCAAATACTAAAAACAATTCTTTATGGATCCTACCTGCAGATTTGCCCGACGGTGGCTCCAAACATATTGCAGAGACGGTGCGTGAAATTAAGGCAAGGTTAGTAAAGTTGAATTTCGATTTTCAATACCTTTTAAAATGCTGGGTTTTAACCCGTTTGCTTGCAGAAACTCAAATATATTTGTAGAGTGCCTGGTGCCCGATTTTCGCGGAGATTTTGAGTGTGTGAAGACAATTGCAACTTGCGGGCTCGATGTGTACGCGCATAATATTGAAACAGTTGAGAAGCTGACCCCATTCGTTCGAGATCGCCGCGCCCACTATAGACAGACGCTTAAAGTACTGCGCGAAGCCAAGAGCTTTAATCCGAATCTCGTAACCAAAAGTTCCATAATGCTGGGCCTGGGCGAAACGGATGCAGAAGTTGAACAAACCATGCTAGATTTGCGAGAGGCTGGAGTTGAGTGCCTAACCTTGGGCCAGTACATGCAGCCCACAAAGAGGCACCTTAAGGTTATCGAGTATGTTACGCCTGAAAAATTCAAGCATTGGGAAGTGCGAGGAAATGAGCTTGGCTTTCTCTATACTGCCAGTGGACCACTTGTAAGAAGCTCTTACAAAGCTGGAGAGTTCTTTATCACGAGTATATTGGCAAATAGAAGGAAATCAGTTTGATTGAGCCAAACTTAAATGCAAATTTCAAATTTATTTGCTTGTATATTTGTAATTGCTAATAAATCGTTAAATATGTATCTTGTTATTGCGCTAAGGTATACAAATTCTATGTTAAATATAGTTAGAAAGACAATTCTAGATTAATTGTAACCTTTTAATCATTATTAATATGTATTCGTATTTAATTTTGGACTTTTTTGACGATCCGGAGATTTTTAGCTTCAAAGTAAGTAAATATTCGAAGATAGGAAAAATAAGTTTTTGTCATAGATCCAATGGATTTTGGTGTATATTAAAAATACCAATTTGGTATCTGTCCTCTAGATTATACGGGCACACTTAGCTACGTTTTTTTTTCGTTTTTCTATTGTGTGACCAATTGTCGTTGTTTTTAGTTGAAAGTGCATAAAAGAAGTACACCGTAAATCCTGAAAGGCAATACTTACATTGTAAAAAAACTAATAACTAAACAAAATTAATGCTAATGTCTGCACAAAGAACGTTAAAAAAGAAATGCAGATATGAAATAAGATAAGCTGTATATGTATGCAGTTTGCTGTATTTATGTACGTACATATACATGCATACATATGTAATCTGAATATGTATGCATGTGTGGCAGTGCGTTTTTTGTTTTTACACACATTGTTGGTGTATGCGTGACACAAAGAATAGGAAGTTGTCGAAATTTTAACCTATTAAAACACTCATTTTTGATTGCGGTAGTGACCATTGATTGGCCAAAAAGTGAAAATTTATATATGCATTTTAAGCAAGTATGGCGTAAATAAATACATATGTGCATACATATATACTACATCAGACACGGCCATGGAAGAGCAACCTAAACGTGAAAATGTATTGGTGTTCACCAACAGCAGCTTTGTTTCCACATTGTTTTTGTTTTGAATGCAATTGTTCCCTTTCTGGCACACTCTTTGCCTTTAGCTAATGCTCGGTTCGTGTCTGTGTTAAAACCCGATTGCATTCGGGCTGCGTTTGGGCTCTATATACCCGAACCAGTATTATTACAAGTAGTAAATGCATTTTTACACACATGTAGAAATGCATGCTCGAGTGTATGTATGCATGTACATATGTGTGTACACTAATTTTCATACGATTGGGGTACATTTTTTGAACATCATTGATGTAGACACAGATATACGAATACAAATGCATTTATATATATATACGTGCATGTGTACGTTACGTTGTATTATTAAATATACAAAAATTATATAAAATACTAAAATATGCTGTAAATGATTGTATTAAAAACAATACAATTTTAGAGTTTGGGATATACGTACATACATATGTATATATAGTTATCTACCAAAGGGTTTTTGATAACTTGATTGTTGCTGATCATGATACATTTAAGTTAACTAGATTAAAATCAGGTAAACTCCTAATGTAGATACCATATTTCCTTTTGTTCGAATTGAAAACACAAATAGATAAGAATACCTTCAGCGTGCTGCGTAGTAAAATATATATATGTATGTACATATATGTACATACGTATTTTCCTACACTTTTCAAGAATCCTCGGACGTCTTTGTAACCAATCTAATCTGTGTAGCAAATGTTAATAATTCCAACTAATTTAATTTTAGAAAACGTTTCTTTTAATAGTGTCATATCTCGGCAGTGGATCGGAGCTCATTGTTATCAACGGTCCCAAGATCCTGATCTTCAGAGTGGAGGGTGATTGAGATAATAAAAAGGCCGATACGGATAATTACGTGCCGGGAGGACAGACGAAGAGTGGTGGCTGCTTGTTGCCGTGCGGTTCCTAAAAAGTACTCAAAATTGATAGAAAGAACAAAAAGGCTGCTGCAACTGGTGCCTCAGCCGGGGACCAGCCGCCGCGCAAAAAGGGACGTCGCTCAGGAGGATCAAATACAGTTTCTGCCGTAGACTCGAACGCAGCGTCTACGTCCAGAGCAGCGCAACAGCAAACTCCGAGTGCCTCTGAACGAAGAAGTGAATCGCAGCCGAGCCGGAAAACTAATTCGGACGCAAATAGACTGCAACCAAATTCCACAACGTCCATGACGGACACCACCCATACACCGAACAGCAATAGCAATAGCAACAGGCAAAACGATAGCAACAGCGATTCTGGCATGAACATGCAGAATACAACAGCCTTGTCATCCTCTACAGCCGGCTCCTCAGACGGTACTAACGCCGCTGTGGAGTTGCCAGCAGGCGGCGACAATGTTACCCACGAGGGCGGTGGCGGCGGCGGAGGTAGTGCTGGTGGCGATGGCGCAGCCGATGAGGTTGCCCAACCCTCGAGCGGCCATAGCAATAATACAACAAACGGTCACGATGTAAAGCACAATGGATTTGCGGCCAACAATAATGGCAGCACCAACAACTGTGCTGTGGACGGGGAAAACAATCGGGAAAATAATAGTGGCTACAGCGGCATTCATTTGGACAAGTCGAATCAAGAGATTATACGTCTCATTGGCCAATATCTGCACGACGTTGGCCTGGAGAAGTCGGTGAAGACTCTAATGGTTGAATCGAACTGTTACTTGGAGCATCCATCGGCTACAAAGTTCAGGGAGCATGTCCTAGTGGGCGATTGGAGCAAAGCGGATGCTGATCTCAAGGTAAGGTACAGAGTGGAGCCAATCGAAGTTTATCGATTTCGAAAAATATATATCAATAGGAAATAATTTTAACTTGAAATCGACATGGTTAAATATACTTTATGTGAAGGAAATGCATCATTCAGCCTGTTTGCTCAAATTCCATCAATATTTGTTTAAAGAGCAGTTCAAATTTCCTATATATATTCAGAATGTATGACTAGTTAATAATTAAATGTGTATCAATATCATGATGATCAATAAGCCCTTTGTAATTTACCATTTTGATATTTGCAGGACTTGGAGCCATTGATCGACAATGGAAAATCATCAACAATTACGGAAATGAAATTCATATTGCTGGAACAAAAATATTTGGAGCATTTGGATGATGGCAATCCGTTGGACGCACTGCACGTGCTGCGCAGTGAATTGACTCCACTACAGCACAACATTTCGCGTGTGCATCAATTATCCTCTTATATGATGTGTTCGACCAATGAAGACCTCTACCAGCGCGCCAAATGGGATGGCAAGGGCATAGCATCGCGTGCGCTTGTGATGGAGCGTCTGCAGACATTTATGCCGCCATCGGTAATGATGTCGCCGCGTCGGCTGCGCACATTGCTTCAGCAGGCGGTTGAGCTACAGAGCCAGAACTGCCCCTGTCACGATATGGCCTGGGAGACGAATCTGCAGACAGTGTCCCTGCTGACCGATCATTGTTGCACCACAGATGGCTTTCCCATGCAGACAATACAGGTGCTTACCGATCATTGTGACGAAGTCTGGTTCTGTAAGTTCTCGCCCGACGGCCTCAAACTGGCCACCGGCAGCAAAGATTCCACTGTGATCATCTGGGATGTAGATCCATACAAGTTGACGCTCAAACATCGCCGTGTGCTCGATGGTCAGGCGCAGTTAAACGTTAGCTTCGTCAGCTGGAGTCCGGACTCAAAGCTTATTCTAGTGGGTGGCACCGAGGACTCGCACGAACTCTTTATCTGGAATGTGGACGATGGGAAGCTGGTTGTCAAGTTCTCGCAATCCCCGGATGATAGTCTGGCCTGCGGCACATTCAGTCGTGACGGCAATCATTTTGTCTGCGGTGGTCAAAAGGGACAGCTTTATCTGTGCGATCTGAACGGTACTTTAATCGACTCCTGGGAGGGTGTCCGCGTCAATAGCGTCGCCTTTCGGGCTGATAACAAAACCATATTAGCGGCCGATAATCACTATCGCATAAGAGGGTGAGTATAAAATAATGCAACAATATCATCCTAGTTTCTTTATCCGAATCAAATTGCAGCTATAATTTTGATAACCCACGCTCTGACTTTGATATACTGCGGGAGCCGCATCCCATTATGACGTTTAGTATCAATTCGGCCGATCGTTTGGCTTTGTTAAATGTCTCCAATCAGGGCCTGCATCTTTGGGATATCGAGGATAAGTGTCTAGTGCGACGTTTTCAGGGCATACGGCAAAGCAATTTTGCCATTCATTCTTGCTTTGGCGGCGTTAACGAGAGCTTTGTGGCGAGCGGCAGCGAGGACAAGGTTGTGTACATTTGGCACCTGAAGCGTGAGGAGCCCCTGGCTAAGCTGGCCGGTCACACTAAGACGGTTAACTGCGTGTCCTGGAATCCAGTCTATCCGTCCCTTCTGGCCAGCGCTAGCGATGATGCCACCGTGCGCATTTGGGGACCGAAACCAACGGGTAGCAGTGCAACGACAGAGAGTGATGATTGCTCATCCAGTTCATCATCGTCCTCGTGGAACATGAACTAAAACCGCAATTTGCTTAACGATTTATTTATGTGGTGACTGCGCAGTAGCGGATTGCAGTATGAAATTGGGGTTTCTTATTCAAAGGCCAGAATATATAGATATGGATAAATTTCAATTGTGATGCATATGCAAGCGAATTTTTGCCACAATCAACTTTCAATAATACGCAGTTTAAGTTTCGTCCGTTTCTATTTGTTTTTGGAAATTTTCGTATGTTTGTATAAGCAAAATCCTCTAATGCGTTAATCCACATAAATAGGTACGTGATTACTCTGAATTAGCTCTTAAGTAAACTCCCAATGTCGATCTAAATGTGGTGCGCATGCCCCTGCAACCAGTTGCAATTTGTTGCCGGGGCGGCGAAAACACAAGACTGCCATTATCCAAAAGAATGTGGATGAGCAGCATGACTTACAATTAGCATTAAACTTAAATAAGGTACATTGACATTGTCTCACACATAATCGGACACAATCACAAACGCACGATGCGCGTATGTATGGATACTGTTCAAAGCTTTTCAAGAAACAATAGTATTTTTGTTTTGTTTTTTTTATTTTTTAAAACTTCATACTCATATGTATGTATATTTATTTACATGCCTATGTATTGTCGATTGGCTTTTAGTTTTTATCAAGTTTCAAAATGTGGTAAACCATTTTGCAAACAATTGCCATTTTAACTACTTTGTCTACTCTTCGATATTTTGAACGATTTCCATTGCGTTCGGTTTAAATTAATTGATCAGCCTGAATCCCTTCAGTAATGTTGTGTATGCATCCTATTTTATCGGAATATTTAGCATGCGGACTCGGTACATTTTAATTGTTCATTACTTATAGATTGAGGGCCGTAGTCGCATCTCACGTTAAGAAGACTTTTGTTTCGACGTTTACAGATTGTAGTTAACAACGTTTAACCAAATTAATGATATAACGAAAAGGGCCTTTAACCCCAATTTTATTTTATAATCAATACATGCAATAAAGATAGCGCTATTTACATACATATGTAATTTAAATTTGACCACTAACTGATTGGTAATAATTCATTAGGAAAAAGAAACTTTTACCATTGATCAAAATAAACGATATTGCCGTCTTTTTCCAATTTAATTTGATAATTTGAAACAGATAAAATGTATGATGCGGAGAGTGACACTGCTTAAAAATCCCGCACTTTGCACTACTTATCGATAACTGAGCATATATATCTATCAGCTGTTTGGAACAGCGGCAAACTAATTGCTTTGCGATACTTATCGATAGCTGAGCACGTATATCAAGCAGCTGTTGGGAACAGCGGCAAGCTTAACATTGACACTGAACTCTAACAAACAACTAAAGACGAACACAATTTTTAATAAGTCGTGTTGTAAGCATTTAAACAACAGGAATGGCTTCTGTAGGCGATGGTAAAATAAGCTTGCGAAAATTAGAATATCCAATGTGTGCAGTTGAGGCACTCTCCCGTTTAGGTTAGCTCACACCTAATTTCTTGATACCCTTTTTCGATAGTAATGTTTTTCTTGTTACAGAGGGCCTCATTGCTAGCCGAAATAAACAGAACTTGGCAATGCAGATAATTTCCGAGTTCATCTTTCTGGAGCGCACCAAGGATGGAGACGTGCGCAAAATGCAAACGCTCGGCATAAGTCAAATGAATATCTATCAGGAGTTTCAATTGATTCTAGCGCTCATTGAGTACTTCTCAAGGCCAGGCCGGGATGCGACACGCAATGCGATATTTCTCTCTCTATTTGGCAGCCACTTGACGCCACAGCGGTCTAGGCTACTATCAAGACTTATCAGTACTGCGGTTTCGGGCTCGGTGGCTCCACTGCTCTCCTCGGCAGGCACATGGATGCAACAAGTTGGCTGCAAAACGCCACCAAGCCTAGAGGTTGCACAGAATATTGTCAGCGATTTTATCTCGTTCTCGCGCAAAACTCCTGAACAATTAAGGCATCTTCCCATGGTGGGTCCGCATTTTGCAGCTAACTTTATGGTTGCTGTCGCCGATCTATATCTAAATGAGAAGCGTGGTGGTGTTCTGATACCCCCGCCGGATGCCCTACTTGATGCAATAACAGAGTGGACGACCGAGAATCCGTTGCTCTGCCAGGCACCGCAGCAGCCACTTGTTTTACCTGCTGGCGCTATTGCAATGCCGTTTGCTACTCCGCTGGCCGGCTTGTTGCGTTGGGTAGTGCTGGCCCCGTTGGTATCAAACCGGCAAGCTTATAGCAACCTGCATTTATCGTTGCTACACACTCTGCTAAAAACGGCCAGCAATGGCGAATCTACCATATCCGTACATTCGCAAGACCTAATGCAAATTGTCACATCATTGCAAAAATACTGTGCCCGTCTGGCTGAGGCAAAGGTAGCTCCCGAAGAGGACGCCGCATACCTGAAGTCCATGGAACGCTTTGCTCAAGCTGTGCAGATAGCATTGGCGTCCAACTGCATAACAAACCACATTCAGCTGCTCTGCGTATTGGAGACGCTGCCGCCACACGCACTCATGAAAATTGTGTTAGCAGCGCACAAAAAGCTGTAATCAATTATTGGAATCCACGTAGGTTAGTTTTGTTTGCATACATACTACGTATTTAATAAGTTGTACATAAAATGAACTTGAAGATCAATTCCTAATAACTACATAAGATATTCGATCTTATATTCTTCATTTTGTGTTGTAGGGGAAATTAGGCAATAAGGCCAATTAGTCGAGTACTAAAATTAACTTCCTGAATTTATTGTTCTCGCATAGAAAGAGCCTAAGACTTATGTTCTATTCTAGTATTCTCTACTTATTTAAAATGTTTTTAAAAATGTCATCAAAATGTTGCCAGACGGTTGAAACAAACGAAGGATTGCAGTGCGCAGGACCTGTGCGTGAGCACATCAAAATGAATTGGAGGAAAATCAATAAAGTAATGTTCAGAGAGGACCCCAAATAAAACTAGAAAATATCGTTCCGGTGGTGCTGTTTATTTGGGAATAAGCTCGTAAATAATTTAACCTATATATAATTAAACGACGTATACCTTAAAGGATGCAATGAACCCAGTGCCAAATCGTGACTTTATGGAGGTGCATCCGCTGCATCAGCATCAGCCACATTGCAAGCAGCAATGTTTTGTGTTCACTGAGATAGCGGACATTGAGCTTCCAGCCGAGATAACAAAGTTTGGTGGTGGCAATGAAAAGCTGCATTGCTCCAATGGAGGCATACCGAGCTACAATTGCAAGAAGGACTCCTGCAGCGAGTCGTCCGTTGAGCGTCCCGGACGTTCGCGGAGCCGCAAAATTCTGGTGGGCGTTTGCCTGGTCTTAGTCTGCATTGCCATGGCCGGCGGTATTCCGTTGGCACTTCAGTTACGCTCCTCGTCCCTGTTGGAGGCACGCTTGGCATTTATTCGACGTTTGCTGACGGAATCGCCGCTCATTGAGGGTTCCTGGAAGCCACCCAGTGGTGTTAAGCTGAACAGCAGTGGCATGGCCGATATACGGCAAAATCATATTGGTGCCGTGCTCTGGCCTATAGCTGTTCACTGTGGTGCCCAGTATCTGGATGCAGTTCAACTGGTTCTCGAGGGCATCGATGAAGCGAAACGGATTACAGCTGCCACAAATTCGATGCATATTGTTGAATCGGCCGATGAGATGGAGCAGACCCACATCAGAGGCGAGGTGGCCGTCCTTATGGGTATCGGTGGAGGTCATGCCTTGGGTACCAGTCTCGCTGTTCTGCGCTCCCTCTATCTGCTGGGCGCTCGATTCGTATCAATTACCAGCTTGGAGTGCACAACACCTTGGGCTGCCGCAGCCATACGAAGACGCGATTATCTGATTGAGGAGAATGTGACCAATTCGCTTAATGAATTCGGAAAGGTGGGTGCAATGATATTGAATGGGATTACAAGAGTTTTGACCAAAGTTTCTTGTTTGTTGCAGACAATGCTTTACGAAATGAATCGTCTGGGCATGTTGATTGAAATATCACAGCTGAGCGAAACTGCAATGATAATAGCCCTGCGCACAGCGAAAGCGCCCGTTCTGCTAATGAATGCCACACCGCTTTCCATGTGTAATGGCACAAACGTGGCCTCCATACCGGATCATGTACTCAGGTATGTTTTCGCAGTTTTCTTCTTCTTTTCTTGTAATGTGAAGTACATTTTGAACATTCCAGCCTTCTGCCAGAAAATGGTGGAGTCATACTGCTAAACTTGGAGCGCTGTGGTGATCGGCAGATCAGTGTACGCGAGGCGATTCTGGCTATCAACTATGTACGAAAGGTGGCTGGGGTAGATCACATTGGCCTGGGCGGAGCCCCCAAAAGCTATGCACTATTGTTGGCCGAGTTGGCTCGTGATCGAGTTTGGGGGAATGCGGCTATAAAGAAGCTGGTTGGCGGCAATGTTATGCGTATTTTGCGTGAAATTGAGGCTCTTAAGAATCGCTTGCCCCTATACGAAGAATGGATTCCACATGAGTCGATCGAAAGCAATTCATATTGCCGCTATCCAGAGTCGTAAGCGATACGTTTTTAAATTTGTATTTTATGACTTTCGTCAGTTACAATTTTCTGTGGGTTACTTGCTCAATGTAGATAAATAAATCACAGGATTAAATCGAGCGAGTGGCAGTAAATATTGATACACATAAATACTTTAATAAGAAAAAGTTTGTTAATGTAGATGCGAAGCTGACGGTCGTTTCTTATGCCGAAATATTTTCAAATTGTTTCTTATAATTATGACATTTTAAAAAGCATTATGTATTGATCAAAAGACAGTTACAATTTGCCTTTAGTATTTTTTAACGATGTCAAACAAATATGGCGGAAACAGCTAAAAAATACCATAAGAGAGCAATACAACCATGCGGTCAATTTCTGCAATGTACCAATATATCATACATCGAATTCATAAAGTTTTAAATTAAAAGAATTCATTTTCATAAATCATTTGTTACACGCTGGGATTACTCACAATTGATTAAAGTTAATAGTACGTGTTGATTTGTCAACGTTTTTCTAGCAATTGTTTTGAAACTAGCCAAGAATTAATGAGAGGCACTAGAGAGTCCTTCACCAGCAACACGCTTTACGTCGCTTTTTAACCGAGATTAATATATCTTAATTATACAAGATTTGGCGATGAAAGATGTGGCGCAGAACGATTTCTTCGCTTCACCTAAAAAGGTAAGAGACGAATATGTATTTATAGCAGCTGCGACAAGTACAAGAGAGGCTTGCCTACCTTTCTTATTGGGAACATCTGTTTTGAAAAACTAACTGTAACGACCTCATTTCATGTTTGAATTTTAATTTAATGTTTTGCCAACGATAATAGTTTATGGTAATGCGACTTCACAGGATCCAACAGTTAGATACAAATATGTGGTCGCAATACGCACATACATGCGACAGCTACTTTTTTGGCACCTTACCACACTGGCTAATTCACATTGATGGCGTATCGAAAGCCAATAGTTATTATCGTTCATTTAATTCATAACGTTCCTTCGCTTTGATCTGCGGATGTTGTTGGATTTATATATGTATATACCGCTTAGATCATGTTTAATTCGCGTGAGTTCATTGTCCTAACTAACTCAAATACCTTGTTGTTTGCAATTGCCAATTTGTGATATCCTAGGTCGCTTAGCGGTGGCAAATATTCCATTGTGCATTCGTCAATACATTTCGCCTTTTAGTTATACAAATAAAAAACCATTAATAGCTGCTGGAATTATGCTACTGATAATTGGAGGTAAAGTTCTATGCTTATGTTTAAATAAATTCTTAAGTAGGCACCTATTTAAAAAGCTGAATAAAATATTCACAATACCCTTTCAGACTCCCTCCGGTCAGCATCTGCTAGTAAAAACATGTTCATATTGACTGCTGAGGTTAAACTAACAGAGTGCTGAATTGTGAGTGACTTAGAAAAAACCGGCTCACAGAAAATCAGCAAGCGACCAAAATGCGAGTGGGAACGATGCGCCACTTTGCTAAGCATGCACACCCACCCAAACACGTGTAAGGGCAGAGATGCCCCAAGGCCAGAGATAAGCAGTCACCTGTTCGTGTGTGTTCGCTGTCATTTTTCGACTTACGCTCACGCGCTCACGATTCTTTCTGGTGCTGATTGCTGATTGGTCCAAATAATAGCTGCTGGCAGTGATGTTCTCGTCTGCTCAATCGCGTGATCTGAGTGCTCTAAGCGCTGTTTTTTTTGGTGAGCTGTGGATCTGCTCAACTTTATTCAGAGTTAGTGTGGCCTCATAAGTCAACATGGCATGTTGTTATGCTGCGAGTGAAAGTCTATTAAACCTATTATTATTTTGTTATACCTTTATTGTGGACGTGATGCATAAGTAGATAAGGCACTTGCACGCAAATACACATACGTCCGTGCATATTTGGCGATTCTCTCTGTAAACATATGTTTGGGTGAGTGTTTTCGCAATTGATATATGTATACTTATGCTTGTGTATGATTGCTTATTGCTTATCTACCGTTGAACGGCGCAGTTTCTGTGTGCCGTTGTTTGTCCACTTTGTGTGCTGTGCAATATAATTTTATTTTCGTTAAACTATAGCAGTCGAGTAAAGCCGTTTATAATGGTGCACGTTTTCGGACTCGTACGGCTCGGAAGTATTAATAGCCATAAAAAAATCGTGTTCTAAAGTTTGAAAATGCTAAATGTAGAAGTCTAGCGATTTAAAAGCCTTTTAAGAATTCTAACGTGTTTATTCTAAACCGATATAAAGCCATTCATAGTTTACCAAAAAAATAGTGATCTCTTCATTTTGCAAACAATTCGTAAGAGCGAAACGAATAAGAGGATAATGCACAAGCAATAATATACGCATACATATGCATGTACATACATACATGTTTGGCGATTCTCTCTGCATACATATGTTTTTGGTGTGTCTTTTCGCAATTGATATCTATTCATGTTTGCTTTTGTATGCTTTCTTATGCCTTCTCTACCTTTGCATGGCAATTCCTCCAGTTTGTGGATTGCTCGCTCAATTCGCCGTGCACCGACTTTGGCCAGCAGTCGAGTAAAGCCCTTTAAAAATATTATATGGGAATATTCTCGGGTTAATATCGTCCGTATCTGACTCGTACGAAGCGGGAGTAACAATTGACATGTCAAAAAATCGCCTTCTAGATTTGATCAGAAGTCGGTACTGAAATCAAAATTTCTAAGAGTTCTGTCGATTGTAAAGACTTTCACGAATCCCAAAAGGTATATCTCCGAAGTCGGACGTTATTAAACCGATATAGAAAACTTACAAAATACTAATCCATTTTTTATTTTGAACTTTGCAGCCAAATCTGCCATGGACAAGAAAACATTCAATAACGTTGGTACCTAGATGACCTTGGTTATTTCATGCCATGGATATACCTTTAACAAAGTCGTATTTAAACTTTTACCAAAATGGCAATGGTTACATAAACGTTGTTGCCAATCTTTAAAGGTATGTCTTTCCAAAATTTGTTTGATATATATTTTTGTTTGAATAACTTATCAATCTTTCATTCTGTTTCTTTCAGCCAAATCTGCCAAGCTTATGGACAGTAAAATATTCAGTATTATTGGTACCTGGAGATTTCTATATATAGACAATTTAAATAATGTAAAGTTGTTGCCATATCTGGATCGGTTGTGAAATCAAAATTTGTAGTTGTGTCGATTTTAAAGAATTTCACGAATCCTTGAAGGTATTTAATCAATATATTGTTGTTAACAAAAACTAATACATTTTTCAGTTTCATCTGAACACAAAGCTGTAACTGTTACCTCTAGTTCTACTTTTCTTTTTCTACTTTTTTGTTTAAACAAATTACTAAGAAGGCAGCTAAACATAATCGCCGCTCCTAGAATATACCCTTTTAGACTCCTCCGGGTCAGCAGCTCCTAGTAAAAAAATGTTCATAATGACGGCTGAGTTTACACTAACAGAGTGTGTTACATTGTGAGTGACTAGGAAAAACCGGCGCACAGAAAATCAGCAAGCGACCAAAATGCGAGTGGGAACGATGCGCCACTTTGCTAAGCATGCACACCCACACAAGCACGATAAGCAGTCACCTGTTTGTGTGTGTGTTCGCTGTCATTTTTCGACTTACGCTCACGCGCTCACGATTCTTTCTGGTGCTGATCGCTGATTGGTCCAATTATGACCTGCTGGCAGTGATGTTCTCGTCTGCTCAATCGTGTGATCTGAGCGCTGTTTTTTTTGGTGCGCTGTGGATCTGCTCAACTTTATTCAGAGTTAGTGTGGCCTCATAAGTCAACATGGCATGTTGTTATACTGCGAGTGAAAGTCTATTGATTCATTATTATGCTAGTAAGGGCAAGTATTGTCGTATTTTTAAACATATACCATTTTCAACACGGAAAGACTAAAACTATTAATTCATTTAATATGTAATACAATATTTTTATATTTTTATACAGAAATCGGTGTACAGAAAATGGACATGTCCTAATTTGAGCTATTAGCAGCCTGCACCAGCAGTCATATACACATATGCATATACATTTTTGTCTTTTATCTCTGCATACATGTGTTTGAATGCCAATTGTTAGTATGGATCCACACGGCATCGAAAAGGTATAACATTCCTAAATCTGAAATTATTTACCCGAGCGGAGTTATAAAACGACATCATTTCGCGCAGGCGGAATTATTTTGTTTTCTAACGTCATACATCCGCGCGGTTCTAAAATATTAAAATTTGTAGTGATCTGTCGATTTTCAAGGCGTTCGCGAAATCTAAAATGGATATCTTTCCAAAATCAGACCTAATGTAACCAATATATTTTAAATTAAAAAATTTGTCTTTTTGTATTTTTCAGCCAAGTCTGCCACGCCAATGGACAATTAATAATCAGCAAATGACCTCTATTCATGGTACCTAGTTGAGCTTTATATCCTTGATTATTTCATATCATGGATATAGTCCTAGCGAACCTAAAGGACCGAGTTCTAGCAAAATGCGCAAGAACATGGTCCAAAAATATGTATGCTCCTTTTTAAAGCCGCCCCCATCAACAGCTCCGTCTGTATGGTTTCTAGTTGACTAGCATATCCTTGGTTATATACCATACCATGGATATAGTCCTTGGAAACCTAAAGGATCAGAAACGGTCCAAAAACATGTATGCTTTTTCTTTCAGGAGCCCTTTTACGTTAGCTGCAGCTGCAGCTGTTCTTTAACAGCCGCCGTACAGCACTCATTTTACATAATCTGTTACTTAACAGTACTCATTTTAATTGAGTTATGTTGAAAATGTTGAGTGAAAATTTTTATTCGAAGAACTCGTCGACCTCCTGGGCATTTCTGTTCGCCTGGTACTTGAGCGGAATTTTGGGCAAATTTGGTACCGGCGGTGAGGGTGCCCCTTTTTACTACGTCACTTTTCGGCCGCAAAAATATTATTTGTCGACTTTCTGGGCGTTTCTGTTCGCCTGGTATTTTGGTGAAATTTTAGTAAAAATTTGGGACCCAGCCGGCGGCGAGGGCGCCCCTTTTGGGTATGCAATGAAATTTTTCGGCAGCTAAAAAATATTTGTTGTCGACCTTCTGGGCGTTTCTGTTCGCCTGGTATTTTGGCAGATTTTTAGAAAAATCTCGGCAACCAGCGGTTGCCAACAGACGCCCCTGGCGGTTATGCAATGGATTTCTAAGGACCGTTGATTTTTGAATTTTTAAATAAAAAAACAGGATTTTCTTTTATTATTTTAAATAATTGATTTGTTTATTTTTCAATTTATAATATTGTTGTTTTTTATGCTAATTTTCTTAATTATTTGTCTTAAAAGTGTACAAAACGAGCATACATTAAAATTCTAGCTTTTTTGAACTTAAAATCCTGGAAAAATTAGCTTTGTCCCTCGTGGAGGTCCTTAGAATTCATTGTAGTCCTTTATTTGTCAATCTGAAATGATAAAAACACATTTAAATTAAACAAGGCAAAAAATGTATAAAGCATTTTAGGTAATAAAAAAACGGACATAACTCGGTCATATCCTTGCAGATTTTCAAAGGACATGGTGCGTTAGGATCGTATATCCCCACTGCATCGATCTGCATCAAAAAAATATGGGGTCATCTAAGAATCATATGACTCGAAATTGGACTTGTGAAATTTCAGTCTCGGAGCGCACCAAAATGGGCAGAAAACACAAATCCTTGAATTCCTCCAAAACTACAAGGACGATCTTAATGAAATTTGGCCAGTTGGTAGTCCTGGTTAATACAATTATTTTGACATATGACTCGCCAGGACACGCAAGGATATGGTCGAGTTATGGCTTATTTTCTTCAAACAAAATCGTCCTTAAAACTTTTTTGTCTGAAGGACTTTCGTCCCTTGGGTTGTAAATTCTTAAATGGGAGGGCGAGGACTATCTGCTGGCCAAAGGACATCCCGAGAGTCCTTCAAATGCCAAATTTAACCCGGTATTTTTCGATTTTAGCCAATTTTGCGACTAACCCCTAGGAAAAATTTAGGTGAAATTTTTTGTCGAATCTTTGAAATCCTTGAATGCCAATCGATAGTTCTGCTCCCCACGTGTTCAAAACGGTATATCCTTCCGCTATCCTTAAGGATTTGGCCGAGTTATGGCTATTTAAAAAATGTCCTTTTTAGAAAATAGGCCATATCCCGGAAACGACAAGGACGATTTCGTTGTCCTTGGGCCAGTTGATCGTCCTTATTCATACGAGTTGTTTGACACAGGACTTGTAAGGATCTGCAAGGATACGGCCGAGTTATGGCCTTGGTTAATTTAAAAAAGAATTGAACTCATATCTGGGCAGCCTGAAGGACTTTTGTCCTTTTTATTGTATATTCTGAATCGGGGGATGATGAGTATCAGTTGGCCAAAGGACATCATGATCCGCAAGGATACGGCCAATCTACAGCTTTCTTTCTTTACAGGCGAAGATCTCTTTTACTTAGCTCCTTGAAGGACTTTCGTCCTTTTCATAACATATTCTAATCTGGTAAGACAAGGACTGCATAATGGCCAAAGGACATCAGGATACTGCTTGAAATGGCCAATTTATGTCCGTTTTGGTTATTAATATATAAAAACATATCATGAAAACCACAAGGACGATTTTGATATGCTTTACACAGTTGGTACCCCGGGTCTTTACAAATTGTGCTTTGGCCTACTTTCTGTACGGAGTAATGTCTCTATTTGTCAACTTTTTGAAGGACTTTCACCCTTTTTGGTGCATATTTTAAAATTAGCGGAATATGGACATTCTATTGGCCAAAGGACATAAGGATTTTATTTGAAATGGCCAAATTGTGGCCTATTAAAAAATATCCTATTCGTTAACCAGGCGGACGATTTCGTTGCAACCGACTTATTATGAGACTCAGGTGTGACTTACCTTGCTGTGAATACCAGCAATCTGGAAGGCATGGCAGCAGCAGAGTCGTCCACACAGGATGCCCAACGTAGTTCACAGCCCGCCGGAAGATGGTTATGGCAGGCGGGAGAGATAAAGCAAACTGCCTGCTTCAGACTGCACAATAGAATTGTGATCACGTTATTACACGGAGATCATTGAAAGATGTGCAACAAATGCGATCAGATAAAGTTGCTTCAAAATATCCGACATTAAATTAGTAAATCTGTTGTCCCAAAATCACCTGAAATTATTGAAGAATGTAATACGAACTGAAAGATCTTAAAAACTTATGCTCTTACCTTGTATTACAGCGAGCAACGTGATGTGGGGCTATTCCAGTCTAAGTTAAAGATATCTGTCCTTTCGCTCTACAGGCACTTGGGCTTCGTAATGCGCAAACGTTCTCTATATCCACACAGCTGCTAGCACTGCAAAGATTTTCAAAACATTTAAATATGCAAATTACCACGAATCTTATGTCAATCCGTGGTCCTGAATCCTGCGAGTTCAACAAGGTGTACAGTTGCCAGATCTTTGAGGATTTGGCCGAGCTATGGTTAAGAAACGAATGTCCTTTTTAGCAAAATAACTCTACCTCGGCCATATCCTTGCGGATTTCGAGTTAAATTTATAGTTAGGCTTACCGTTTTCATTCGATATGAAGTTAAATAGTATTATTAATCGGTAGCGCATTTTGATAGCAGCTTTTTGTCAATGTTAAAGGACACAAATCAAATTCTTTAAAATATTCCGAAAGATTTTTTAATTGTTTATCCGCTGCTTCAAACTGTGGCTTGTTTTATAGTTGTTGGCCCTGCTGGCCGATCCTCGGGCGGGAAGCGGAGCTATGAACGATAGCTATTATACATGACCGACCAGATGATCATGTATATAAACCCAAAATAGTTGACTGCGCTAAGCACTGTAATCCAGTCCATGTAGACAATGTTGTAGGATTTGAAGCACAAGAAATAGAGTACAATATTGATCTCGGCATTGTTGAACGTTTCAATTCAATCTGTAAATATTAATGTATATAAATATATATCATACAAAGCTAACTCATCCAGGTAAGTACCTGCTTTTCAGAGCTGACAATCTTGTACTTCATTAGGAATTCCACGTAATATATAACCATGCCATATAGCCAGAAAACCCAAAGCAGCCGCGTAGCTAAATAGTTGCGATAGTTAAGGAACTTTAGACTTTATAACTTATAGTAGTATACATATATAGTGACCAACCTATTGATTAGTCCCGAATCCTGCAAGTTCAATGAGATGTGTCCTTTCCAGATCCACAATGAATGTCCTCTTTAGATAAATAGCTTGAACTAAGAAATTTAAGCTCCTAAGAATTGCTTCCACCTATCCCACATTACATAAATGAAAATGTTTTCTTTTGCGCTCTAAATCGAGCGAGTGGCAGTAAATATTGATACACATAAATACTTAAATAAGAAAAAGTTTTTTCGCGATGCTGACGGTTGTTCCTTGCCCCAAAATGCTTGCAAATGTTTTCTTATAATTATTACAATTCAAAAAACTTTAAGTACTTATCTAAAGATAGTTACAATTTGAGTTCAGTATTTTCTTACCAACATTTCTTGCAAACAAATATTTGCGGAAACAAACATATTATACATCGAATTCTTACATGTTTTATTGTTTGAGTTAAAAGTATTCATTTACATAAATCATGCGTTACGCGCTGAGATAGCTTACAAGTACTACAACTAACAATCGAGTATATTTGAATGATTAAAATTAATAGTAAGATATAAATATGTTGTCATAATACATGCTTACGCGATAAACTATTTAAGTGCGAGAGAGCTACTTTTTGGCACTTTACCACACTGGCTAATTAACTTTGATGGCGGTCCGGATGCCAAGTGTAAAGGAAATTACTTCCCTATCTGGTTGTCGATCGGAAAATTCGCGCTTCATAATTTTCCTCGATAAAAGATCTTCACTGTGCTCTGCGGATGTTATTGGATTTATATCCCTACCGCTTACAGTATCGCGTTTAATTCGCGTGGGCTCATCATCCTCATCTTCGTCTAACTCAAAAACATTATTGTTCGTAATTGCAAGTTTGTTGATCTCATTAAAAAATTTACTTTTCGCGTCTCTAACTGTCCTGTCATAGCCTGGATTGCTCAGCGGTGGCAAATACGTTGCTGGTATGGGCGTCGAACCCTTATAAGTGTCAGGACAACGGGGGTCTACAGAGCCAGGGAAACAGTAAACAGGAGTCGTGTCGGGCGATAAAGTGGAAGTCACTAAACTTTGTGAGCAACGAATATCAGTAGATCCAGGATAACAGTTAGGAGAAGCAGTCGTCTTTGGCTGTTGTGGACAGCGCGGATCGGTTGAGCCTGGATAACACCTTGGCTTAGTAGGTGTTACTGGTGGGCGAACTGTAGTTGGAGGCAAGTAAGTTGCGGGTTGACAATCGGGATCTGTTGAACCAGGCAAGCAACGGGGCTTCGGTGTTGTCTTGGGCTCTTGTGGACAACGAGGATCAGTTGATCCAGGATAGCAGTTGGGCGAAGCAGTCGTCTTTGGCTGTTGTGGACAGCGAGGATCGGTTGAGCCTGGATAACACCTTGGCTTAGTCGGTGTTACTGGTGGACGAACCGTAGTTGGAGGCAAGTAAGTGGCTGGTTGACAATCGGGATCTGTTGAACCAGGATAGCAACGGGGCTTCGATGTGGTCTTGGGCTCTTGTGGACAACGAGGATCAGTTGATCCAGGATAGCAGTTGGGCAAGGCAGTCGTCTTTGGCTGTTGTGGACAGCGAGGATCGGTTGATCCAGGATAGCAGTTGGGCGAAGCAGTCGTCTTTGGCTGTTGTGGACAGCGAGGATCGGTTGAGCCTGGATAACACCTTGGCTTAGTCGGTGTTACTGGTGGACGAACTGTAGTTGGAGGTAGGTAAGTTGCAGGTTGACAATCGGGATCTGTTGAACCAGGCAAGCAACGGGGCTTCGGTGTGGTCTTGGGCTCTTGTGGACAACGAGGATCAGTTGATCCAGGATAGCAGTTGGGCAAGGCAGTCGTCTTTGGCTGTTGTGGACAGCGAGGATCAGTTGATCCAGGATAGCAGTTGGGCGAAGCAGTTGTCTTTGGCTGTTGTGGACAGCGGGGATCGGTTGAACCTGGATAGCAAGAGGGCTTTGGTGGCGTATTCTGATTGCCTGGAACTCTCGTCGTTTTTATTGGCGGAAGGTAAGTGGCTGGTTGACATTTTGGATCACTTGATCCGTCAAAACATCCAGGCTTTTTAGTAGTTTCCACTTTGGGGCACCTTGGATCTGGTGATCCAGGGAAACAGTTGAGACATTCTGGATCCTTTGAACCCGGATAACATGAAGGACCTGAGGTCGTTACAGAGGGCTCTTTTGGACAGCGCGGATCGGTTGAGCCTGGATAACATCTTGGCTTAGTCGGTGTTACTGGTGGACGAACTGTAGTTGGAGGCAAGTAAGTTGCAGGTTGACAATCGGGATCTGTTGAACCAGGATAGCAACGGGGCTTCGATGTGGTCTTGGGCTCTTGTGGACAACGAGGATCAGTTGATCCAGGATAGCAGTTGGGCGAAGCAGTTGTCTTTGGCTGTTGTGGACAGCGAGGATCGGTTGAGCCTGGATAACACCTTGGTTTAGTAGGTGTTACTGGTGGACGAACTGTAGTTGGAGGTAGGTAAGTCGCAGGTTGACAATCGGGATCTGTTGAACCAGGATAGCAACGGGGCTTCGATGTGGTCTTGGGCTCTTGTGGACAACGAGGATCAGTTGCTCCAGGATAGCAGTTGGGCGAAGCAGTTGACTTTGGCTGTTGTGGACAGCGAGGATCACTCGATCCAGGATAACAGTTGGGCGAAGCAGTCGTCTTAGGCTGTTGTGGACAGCGAGGATCGGTTGAGCCTGGATAACACCTTGGCTTAGTCGGTGTTACTGGTGGACGAACTGTAGTTGGAGGTAGGTAAGTTGCAGGTTGACAATCGGGATCTGTTGAACCAGGATAGCAACGGGGCTTCGATGTGGTCTTGGGCTCTTGTGGACAACGAGGATCACTTGATCCAGGATAGCAGTTGGGCGAAGCAGTCGTCTTTGGCTGTTGTGGACAGCGCGGATCGGTTGAGCCTGGATAACACCTTGGCTTAGTCGGTGTTGCTGGTGGACGAACTGTAGTTGGAGGTAGGTAAGTCGCAGGTTGACAATCGGGATCTGTTGAACCAGGATAGCAACGGGGCTTCGATGTGGTCTTGGGCTCTTGTGGACAACGAGGATCAGTTGCTCCAGGATAGCAGTTGGGCGAAGCAGTTGACTTTGGCTGTTGTGGACAGCGAGGATCGGTTGAGCCTGGATAACACCTTGGCTTAGTCGGTGTTACTGGTGGACGAACTGTAGTTGGAGGTAGGTAAGTTGCAGGTTGACAATCGGGATCTGTTGAACCAGGATAGCAACGGGGCTTCGATGTGGTCTTGGGCTCTTGTGGACAACGAGGATCACTTGATCCAGGATAGCAGTTGGGCGAAGCAGTCGTCTTTGGCTGTTGTGGACAGCGCGGATCGGTTGAGCCTGGATAACACCTTGGCTTAGTCGGTGTTGCTGGTGGACGAACTGTAGTTGGAGGTAGGTAAGTCGCAGGTTGACAATCGGGATCTGTTGAACCAGGATAGCAACGGGGCTTCGATGTGGTCTTGGGCTCTTGTGGACAACGAGGATCAGTTGCTCCAGGATAGCAGTTGGGCGAAGCAGTTGACTTTGGCTGTTGTGGACAGCGAGGATCGGTTGAGCCTGGATAACACCTTGGCTTAGTCGGTGTTACTGGTGGACGAACTGTAGTTGGAGGTAGGTAAGTTGCAGGTTGACAATCGGGATCTGTTGAACCAGGATAGCAACGGGGCTTCGATGTGGTCTTGGGCTCTTGTGGACAACGAGGATCAGTTGATCCAGGATAGCAGTTGGGCGAAGCAGTTGTCTTTGGCTGTTGTGGACAGCGAGGATCGGTTGAGCCTGGATAACACCTTGGCTTAGTAGGTGTTACTGGTGGACGAACTGTAGTTGGAGGCAAGTAAGTGGCTGGTTGACAATCGGGATCTGTTGAACCAGGCAAGCAACGGGGCTTCGGTGTGGTCTTGGACTCTTGTAGACAACGAGGATCAGTTGATCCACGATAACAGTTGGGCGAAGCAGTCGTCTTTGGCTGTTGTGGACAGCGAGGATCGGTTGAGCCTGGATAGCACCTTGGCTTAGTAGGTGTTACGGGTGGACGAACTGTAGTTGGAGGCAAGTAAGTAGCTGGTTGACAATCGAAATCTGTTGAACCAGGCAAGCAACGGGGCTTCGGTGATGTCTTGGGCTCTTGTGGACAACGAGGATCAGTTGATCCAGGATAGCAGTTGGGCGAAGCAGTCGTCTTTGGCTGTTGTGGACAGCGAGGATCGGTTGAGCCTGGATAACACCTTGGCTTAGTCGGTGTTACTGGTGGACGAACTGTAGTTGGAGGTAGGTAAGTCGCAGGTTGACAATCAGGATCTGTTGAGCCAGGCAAGCAACGGGGCTTCGTTGTGGTCTTGGGCTCTTGTGGACAACGAGGATCAGTTGATCCAGGATAGCAGTTGGGCGAAGCAGTTGTCTTTGGCTGTTGTGGACAGCGGGGATCGGTTGAACCTGGATAGCAAGAGGGCTTTGGTGGCGTATTCTGATTGCCTGGAACTCTCGTCGTTTTTATTGGCGGAAGGTAAGTGGCTGGTTGACATTTTGGATCACTTGATCCGTCAAAACATCCAGGCCTTTTAGTAGTTTCCACTTTGGGGCACCTTGGATCTGGTGATCCAGGGAAACAGTTGAGACATTCTGGATCCTTTGATCCTGGATAACATGAAGGACCTGAGGTCGTTGCAGTGGGCTCTTTTGGACAGCGCGGATCGGTTGAGCCTGGATAACACCTTGGCTTAGTCGGTGTTACTGGTGGACGAACTGTAGTTGGAGGCAAGTAAGTTGCAGGTTGACAATCGGGATCTGTTGAACCAGGATAGCAACGGGGCTTCGATGTGGTTTTGGGTTCCTGGGGGCAACGAGGATCTCTTGATCCAGGATAGCAGTTGGGCGAAGCAGTCGTCTTTGGCTGTTGTGGACAGCGAGGATCGGTTGAGCCTGGATAACACCTTGGCTTAGTCGGTGTTACTGGTGGACGAACCGTAGTTGGAGGCAAGTAAGTGGCTGGTTGACAATCGGGATCTGTTGAACCAGGATAGCAACGGGGCTTCGATGTGGTCTTGGGCTCTTGTGGACAACGAGGATCAGTTGATCCAGGATAGCAGTTGGGAGAAGCAGTCGTCTTTGGTTCCTGCGGACAACGAGGATCAGTTGATCCAGGATAGCAGTTGGGCGAAGCAGTCGTCTTTGGCTGTTGTGGACAGCGAGGATCGGTTGAGCCTGGATAACACCTTGGCTTAGTCGGTGTTACTGGTGGACGAACTGTAGTTGGAGGTAGGTAAGTTGCAGGTTGACAATCGGGATCTGTTGAACCAGGCAAGCAACGGGGCTTCGGTGTGGTCTTGGGCTCTTGTGGACAACGAGGATCAATTGATCCAGGATAGCAGTTGGGAGAAGCAGTCGTCTTTGGCTGTTGTGGACAGCGAGGATCAGTTGATCCAGGATAGCAGTTGGGCGAAGGAGTCGTCTTTGGCTGTTGTGGACAGCGAGGATCAGTTGATCCAGGATAGCAGTTGGGCGAAGCAGTTGTCTTTGGCTGTTGTGGACAGCGGGGATCGGTTGAACCTGGATAGCAAGAGGGCTTTGGTGGCGTATTCTGATTGCCTGGAACTCTCGTCGTTTTTATTGGCGGAAGGTAAGTGGCTGGTTGACATTTTGGATCACTTGATCCGTCAAAACATCCAGGCTTTTTAGTAGTTTCCACTTTGGGGCACCTTGGATCTGGTGATCCAGGGAAACAGTTGAGGCATTCTGGATCCTTTGAACCTGGATAACATGAAGGACCTGAGGGCGTTACAGAGGGCTCTTTTGGGCAGCGCGGATCGGTTGAGCCTGGATAACACCTTGGCTTAGTCGGTGTTACTGGTGGACGAACTGTAGTTGGAGGCAAGGAAGTTGCAGGTTGACAATCGGGATCTGTTGATCCAGGATAGCAACGGGGCTTCGATGTGGTTTTTGGCTCTTGTGGGCAACGAGGATCAGTTGATCCAGGATAGCAGTTGGGCGAAGCAGTCGTCTTTGGCTGTTGTGGACAGCGAGGATCGGTTGAGCCTGGATAGCACCTTGGCTTAGTAGGTGTTACTGATGGACGAACTGTAGTTGGAGGCAAGTAAGTTGCGGGTTGACAATCGGGGTCTGTTGAACCAGGCAAGCAACGGGGCTTCGGTGTGGTCTTTGGCTCTTGTGGGCAACGAGGATCAGTTGATCCAGGATAGCAGTTGGGCGAAGCAGTCGTCTTTGGTTCCTGCGGACAACGAGAATCACTTGATCCAGGATAGCAGCTGGGCGAAGCAGTCGTCTTTGGCTGTTGTGGACAACGAGGATCGGTTGAGCCTGGATAACACCTTGGCTTAGTAGGTGTTACTGGTGGACGAACTGTCGTTGGAGGCAAGTAAGTTGCGGGTTGACAATCGGGGTCTGCTGAACCAGGCAAGCAACGGGGCTTCGGTGTGGTTTTTGGCTCTTGTGGACAACGAGGATCAGTTGATCCAGGATAGCAGTTGGGCGAAGCAGTCGTCTTTGGCTGTTGTGGACAGCGAGGATCGGTTGAGCCTGGATAGCACCTTGGCTTAGTAGGTGTTACTGGTGTACGAACTGTCGTTGGAGGCAAGTAAGTTGCGGGTTGACAATCGGGGTCTGCTGAACCAGGCAAGCAACGGGGCTTCGGTGTGGTTTTTGGCTCTTGTGGACAACGAGGATCAGTTGAACCAGGATAGCAGTTGGGCGAAGCAGTCGTCTTTGGTTCCTGCGGACAACGAGAATCACTTGATCCAGGATAGCAGCTGGGCGAAGCAGTCGTCTTTGGCTGTTGTGGACAACGAGGATCGGTTGAGCCTGGATAACACCTTGGCTTAGTAGGTGTTACTGGTGGACGAACTGTCGTTGGAGGCAAGTAAGTTGCGGGTTGACAATCGGGGTCTGCTGAACCAGGCAAGCAACGGGGCTTCGGTGTGGTTTTTGGCTCTTGTGGACAACGAGGATCAGTTGATCCAGGATAGCAGTTGGGCGAAGCAGTCGTCTTTGGCTGTTGTGGACAGCGAGGATCGGTTGAGCCTGGATAGCACCTTGGCTTAGTAGGTGTTACTGGTGTACGAACTGTCGTTGGAGGCAAGTAAGTTGCGGGTTGACAATCGGGGTCTGCTGAACCAGGCAAGCAACGGGGCTTCGGTGTGGTTTTTGGCTCTTGTGGACAACGAGGATCAGTTGAACCAGGATAGCAGTTGGGCGAAGCAGTCGTCTTTGGCTGTTGTGGACAGCGAGGATCGGTTGAGCCTGGATAGCACCTTGGCTTAGTAGGTGTTACTGGTGGACGAACTGTCGTTGGAGGCAAGTAAGTTGCGGGTTGACAATCGGGGTCTGCTGAACCAGGCAAGCAACTGGGTTTCGATGTGGTCTTGGGCTCTTGTGGACAACGAGGATCAGTTGATCCGGGATAGCAGTTGGGAGAAGCAGTCGTCTTTGGCTGTTGTGGACAGCGAGGATCAGTTGAGCCTGGATAACACCTTGGCTTAGTAGGTGTTACAGGTGGACGAACTGTAGTTGGAGGCAAGTAAGTTGCAGGTTGACAATCGGGGTCTGTTGAACCAGGCAAGCAACGGGGCTTCGATGTGGTCTTTGGCTCTTGTGAACAACGAGGATCAGTTGATCCAGGATAGCAGTTGGGCGAAGCAGTCGTCTTTGGTTCCTGCGGACAACTAGGATCGACTGAGCCTGGATAACACCTTGGCTTCGTAGGTGTTACTGGTGGACGAACTGTAGTTGGAGGCAAGTAAGTTGCAGGTTGACAATCGGAGTCTGTTGAACCAGGCAAGCAACGGGGCTTCGATGTAATTTGAGAATCTTGTCCGCAATTTTGGCTTGAGCTAGGCGAACAAGGTTCTGTTATATCCTCACCACAAGTAAGTAATCGTTCGCAGGCTCCATTGCATAGCTCAATATCACATTTTAGATAAACTTGAGATCGATCGGGAAACTTGAAAGCTTTAAGCGTATTGTAGTATGTTAACGTTTGACCAGGAGGTGATTCCAATTTTTTCCACTCGCCGAAAACTTTTTTCTTGAGCGAACATCCATTTTTATCGGATAGCTGCAATTTGTTTGTGGTTCCTGCTTCAAAATCTGGCTGATCAGAAGCATAACATTGTAGAATGTTAATATCCCAAGTCTGATATAATTGTTTCACATTAATAGTAAATGTTATATCCGTGCCCAGCTTCAAAGTGTAATTAATTGGTTTAATATTCGGTGGGAGTCCCGTTCCTATTTCCATCCAGCATTCAACTGGACCGCTTGGAGTTTCCACTTCAATCACTTCTAGCATATCGACAACAAATGGACGAAAATAAACGGTTTTCTCCTGTTCATCGCTGCGACTGCATGTGATTTTGCGTGCTGTGTCCCAACTTTCCTGGATATCCTGGTCATTCTGTATGATAAGAAAATTATCAACAGATGCACACAACGAGCAGGAGGGTTTGCTGCCACAGCCATCGAAGGGCACTTTGAATACAAAGCGACGTTCATTACTGCCAGAGTTCACATATCTAAAGAGAAGTGGGAAAAGGGAAACATGAATTGTTTCTTTAAATAATTTAAATGTTCTTCAGATATTACGCACTTGCATTTTGGATCGTTGTAGTATCCTTGGCTGTATATAACTCCGTTGAATATCTCTGAAAATTCCACTTCTACTATCATGCCATTCGAAGTATCGCATTTTACGTCGATTTTTTCAATGTTTCCATTGAATGCAGAGGTTTTCCGAGATATCCTGGGAAACGAAAGCGCCAAATCGGCTGGCTTGACTTCATTGTCAACGTAATCGTCATCTGTTCTCAGATCTGCGCCGCCGGCAATGACCTTTTAAATGCAATAAGCTATAAGTTGAAATTCAATACTTTTTTGTTTTTTGCAAATTTCATACCAAAAGCTGAGTCAAAAATATTATGTGGCCAGCTTTGACCATTTTTAGTGGATTGTCGCTCGATCTAAAACCTGTTGCAAATTAAACGTAGTTGTAATTAAAGTTGTATTTGCTGTATTTGTATAATTGATTTGGGTATATGCTAACGCTGCGGTTTCTTTGTTCAACTAAATATATCGTAATAACACAAAATTATATATGCAAATAAGCGTCAAAGAATTAATCTCTAATAATCAATTTTTATTTGGGAATTCACATGTTTTTTTCTATTTACCAAAGTGCGATCGGAAGCAAACTTGTTAAATATTTCCAAAGCCATTTAAATGTCACAAAAGATTTAAGCTAATATGATTTAATAACTTAGAGGGTCGAAAACTCAACAAATCGCTCACAAGGTGATTTTAATTTATTAAAAATTATAATTTTTGATGTCCTTCGCTTTTATACAAAAAATACAATATTAAAGATTATTATTATATTTTTAATTAATTTCGTGGGGCTTTAAAATTGAAAAAACGAATTGTATTAACACAAGAAATTTGCTGCAAGTAAAACTTTGCTTGAAATGTGTTAAATTTAATTTTCAGATGTTTAAACTAATAAATATTATGATATGGCAAATATGTATGCACCTCTCTAATACAAAAAAAGGTGTTATGTAGGTTATCATATTAATCAATTAACTCCCGACTCGAATTTGTCCCAGATCCAGATTCAAATTTACCTGTAACACGACACCAAATCTGTTGAAAACCAGTTTTTTAGTGCGATTTTCACTGATTCAGAAATTTTTGTAATGTCATTTATAAGGTAAAAGGCGTCATTAATAAAAGTAAATTGTGTTATATTGAGAGGGCGTGTGGCAAGCAAGCCGGACTGGACACAGATATACATTATACATAAATGTTGTTTGTTTGAATTTGAAAATGTATTTGCATGATGACTTAACTTTTGAAGACGGTAAGGTAAAGCTACCACAGTTTAGTGGATATTTATGAATAGCATTCATTTATTGTTGTTTATTCAATTTGATTATAAAAAGCCATCGCGATGACCTTCGACGTTTTGGATTCCCTAAATGATTATTTCTCTCGTTGTTATGTTGAATTATCAATGCGCAATTTGCGCATATTGTTTTTGCGGACAGGTAGTATAAGTATTTTACTTGTTGCCAGATTTAATTTTGGTCTTTTGATTTTCAAATTTGAAATATTGACTGGTTTTCGAGTTGTTTTATTCTTTTAGTACGCAATTAAAATCTCTGATGCAGTTCGGCGTTAATTGAAATGTGCTTCATCTTACTTAGATTTTATGTCATCTGTTTTTGCCTTTGTTTTTTTTTTTTTTTGGCCAATAAACAGGTAAATGACAATAACAGAGAGCACTCCGTTGCCGTGCGATAAACGGTCATAAATTAGAAAATACACCAAATATATATATTACTCAATTTGTTAAATATGTTAATATATGCAAAAGTAAATACACATGTTATAAGTATTTGCGCTAGTAGCAATTGATAGCTGTGTGCTGGAATTAATGAGATCTATTCAAATCTCTCATTAATGATATGTGCCAGCCAGATCTTCAGCATCTGCATAGCATTGCCCAAGCACAAATGCTTTGCGGCGTGTAAGAAGAAGATTTTTATTGACTGCCCACAAAATGAAATAAATAATAACTTGGACATTGATGATCTTGCCGTGAACTTTTGCCATTTGGGCGCCTCAGACATAGGCGCTCACACACATGCGCTTGTATTCGTGCTCGTATAGGTATTCGTCACGGCAAACAGGTGATTACCCAACAGGCTTTCGACGACGCCACAGACACGCATTGTGCACATACCTGCATACACACCTGTATGTGTGCACATCTTTATTATTTTACAGGCACCCACCTTTCAGCAGCCGTCAGTCAAACTGGGTGTGTACTGTGGACGCTGCAACTGGACACTCGGCTGTCTGTACTATCTGGCGTATACTTAATGATGCACAACCCAAGAATATTCGATAATTATTCGTTATGCTTTGGCTCGATCGATAATTATGTCAAGTTGAATTGAGTCGATCGTCAAATCCGGCAATTTGTTGTTTGCTTTGAAGGAATTGATTGCTTGATTTGGACAACAGTCAAATTAGTGAAGATGATGTTGGTTTCTTTTTTCTTTTTCTTTTTTTTTCTTGCTTTTTTGTGGCTAATCTCGCACAATAAATCTGTACACATGCGCATACACATGCTTACAAAATGTTTATCATAAGTATTTAATGCGGCTGTTCGCGAATCAACAGATAAAAGGTGAGCCAATAATAACCGACTTTAAATAAATTTATTCGCATTAGTTTTGTATAGATATTTCCTTTTTTAGTGTGTTTTTTTTTTCTTCTTTTATGTTAGTTTATGTTTTTCTGTCGTCGAGCTGTAAGCCATACATTACAATATTTGTATATTTCCTTTTACTTATAGCAAATATAGGGCATGTACGCTTCGGTGTTGGCCATCTATTTTTATTTGCCATATAGTAGTGGTCATTCAAGTCTAGGGCAAGCAAAGTAGGACAGATTTTTTATATTGTGTATTCGGCCAGAAATTGCTCAATCCCAAATCGCAGCGGATAAGCCGATTGCGGCAATCTGAAGTGCGGAATCTTGCATCCTCATTAATAAATGCTTCAAGGCTGCGACAGGAACGACAACGAACAACACACTAAATATGCTATAGTCTGCTAAATGTTCGGATTATAAATGACTCTTGTAGCCGTCGTCGCTCGTTTAGGTTAAGCCTTTTTCCGGCTCCAATACGATTTGAACAGTTTAATTCGGCCTTGCCTAAGTGGTTACAAGCTTGCAGAGTTTCTTCGTCTAATATTGCCTAATCCATAATTAAATCTACCGTTTTGCTAATAAATTGTATGTCTTTTTATAAATTAAAACAAATTAATTTTAAAGACTTAACGACGACTTCTCGACTTTTATGATCAAAATAAATCGAATGGGTGAGTACATCGGTATTAAATATAATTTAATACATTTAAGCCTTTTTTAGCAGACAATTGTTTTCGGACTAGACGATCACTTGGGAGATCATAAAAGTGTGCTTCTTAAAAACATATAATACAAATTATATTTTTTTAATATTATCCAAGCAGCACCTTTGACCCAATTTCATAACCCATTTTACTTGCTTTTATCACTTTGCTTTTGGCATTAACTTATACAAATTTAAATTATATGCCACACTGCACCATATAAAACTTTCAAACAGAGTCAATAAGTTGAAAACTTTTTGAAAGTCTATTTAAAACTTGGTTATGATCCATTATTAAAGCAACAATTATTGCTTTATTTGTCACATTATTCCCGTTGTTGCATCTCATATTAATCAAATACAAGTTTGCAAAAATGTTTTCAAACTCCCACGCAACGCACTGAACACTAGAGTCACGATTATTTTGAAATCCGCAGAGAATATATATATTTTTGTTCAAAAAAATGTCGCTTGATTGAACTTACTGGAATTGCTGTTCGGTCGGTGCTTTGGAGGAGAGTTAGTTTGATCGCCGGCTGGTTAAGAGTTCGCTGTCGCACTAAGCTACGAAAAGACGCGTCTTCGTTTATATACTCGCACGTAGCATGTTTTAACTAAAATCGTTTGGAACACGGCTTTCAAAATCCAAAGGCGCAGCAAATGCAAAAAACAACAGCAGCAGCAGCATCAGCAGCAGCAGCAGCAGCAGCAGCTAAAACAGCAGCCCGGCTAGCTGGCCACAAAAGAGTTATTTACTTTACAATTTTTTTTATACTCACGAGGCTTGTTTCAAAAGTATTTAAAAATATCCGTTGGCAAAATATTTATTCTTCGATGTGGCAACGCTTTTTCAAGTATGTACCAAAGATCGTTTTTTTTTGTTGTCGTTTTTAAATGGCATAAGTCCAGCTAGCTAGCAAAAATGTCCGTTAGTTTTTGATCACGCCTCGTGCATGCATGCAGATACACTTACCAAATGCTCGAGTACAGGGTATATCGAGTTCCTTATAGAAGTGGGCATCGCTGCAAATACTTGTGCCCGACGAGGTGAGTCCAATAAGTTAATCAAAGGATTACTTAAAAAAAAGCAAATAACATTACTTTTGCATAATTGAAATTTAAACATTCATGATGGGAAAAACAAATGCAACAATTGATTACAGATAGCAAACATAGAGTATACACAAGAGTTGATTACATATAGCAAACATAGAGTATACACAAGAGTTGGCAGCTAGCTGCCAAGTATTTTCAGAATATATTATTATATATTAATTATAATGCATTTGAAAACTGTATAGTAGAAGTTTTTAAAGGGCATGCGAGTTGGTCTTTGTTCCAAACCAGATTTGAGGTTTTTCATTTATATTTATGCGCTAGGCAGTCGCGTGAGCCGAACATTGTCCGCTCTACGTCTTCTTCATCTTGACCCGGTCCCGGTCTGAGGCGTTGCAGCGGCGACAACTCCAGCCGAAAGATCCGCAACGTCAAATGGCTAACACCTCTGTATGTATTTTAGGGCCAAAATGCCAAAATCCGTCATTGTCGTAACTGAAATCGTGGCCGGCTTCAACATCGACATCGACGCCGAGCTGGTCATGCAACTATAGTCATTGCGGCCCGATCATCCCGAACAGGTATTAATACTCGAAGTCATACTTTTTTGGATGCCCAGCGTCCGCTTCGTGCTGGTGACAGACGGCAAGCGGTCATGGCGATTTAGATGGTGATGGGTGATTGCTGTACCTTTGCGGATCGTTATGGCTATAGCTGTGTTGCTGCTGTTGACGTTGCAGGGACGTATACAAATAAACAGCATATTGCCGATGTCGATGCCAGCTAGATCTACCTACCGACATTTGCACAAACATTCAATTATAGATATTAACATATACTTAATTATTGTTTATCATTATTTCTTGCTAATTTATAACTAGTCAAAAAATAAAATAAATAAAAAAACTAACCACAAATGAAGTCGTAAAAATACGCCTAATACTTGAGTATTTTCATTATATTTAGTCGTTCTTTGAAGGCCATCCACATGTACCTGAGGCGGGACTAAAAACTCAAGGAAAACCAAACCAAATGTTTGGGACTGCGGCGTAGCGAACATGACGTCCGAAATTCCTTCCATTTAACACTGGGAACGCGACCTTGACGACCGGAAATGCTTTCTGTGTGAGACGCCAGGCCCTGGAAAACCAAGTAAAAACATTAAACTAGCAGATAACCCGTTTCTGGGAACCCCAAATCATATTGGTTGGTATGAAATACTATGCTACAAAAACATAAATTATGGTTATGCATCACAATAACTCAACAGACTGGGACTGTGTATCTTAAATCATATATTGCATGTTTATACAGACAAAAAAAAACGGAGTTTTAACCAATTTTCTTCGTCAATAACTTTTTTGTGCAATACAAATGTAATTCATTTTTAATTATATGAAAAAGGAAGGCATTTCATAAGCTCAAAGCTAAATTTATTTGTATACTCAACTCTCTCAACTCTGCTTTTGTTTATTTCAAAAATAAAAAGGCGGTTTTTTAACTGTATAAATAATAGCATGCCCAAAAGTATGCAATGTATTTCAGAAATGACAAATCGAAAGCATACTTTGCGGAACATTTGAATTTGTGCCAGTATATAGAACACATTGGAAATTATTTCCCATTCAGAATCTAATCTAGTTAGATTTATTTTTGACTTTTGTAAATGTAAAGCATCTTAAGTGCACCATATCATATTCTTATATATTCTTAAATAGTCAAAAAAGGATCACGGATAATCGGACGTCATTTAGAAAGTGTAATTAGTATAATTCAGACGAATATCGGCTTATTCTAGACGACTTACCTTTTGGACTCGTACAGTTTCCGACTGGCATCAAATTCTAGACTAAGACCAAGTTTTGGAAAACTTCTTATTGGAAGTGGTTTGGTTCTGAAATCAAAAACGTATTATTAATTTAATAATTTAAATATTGTGGTTAACAAAATAGAACTAATACTTACTTGCACTCCATACTGTCGGGGACCATAATTGCAAGGATCTTATATATAGTCCTTCAATAACCTGCATCAAATTCAATATGAGAAGTATGAGTAGCTTCTGCTTATATTGGGAAAGTTCCTATGGTCCCAAAAGCTTCTGCTAGAGAAAAGAATACATTTTAGGAATACATTTCGCCTTTTTTATCCGTTAAGAAAAACTACATTTCAGGAAAAAAGATGAAATCTTTGAATATTTTGATTATTAATTGGCGTTGAAAAGTTTTAAACTTTTGCCAAAGACCAGGGCTTACATTAGAATAAAATTTATATAAAATGGGTCAGTTTCAAGGTTTCAGTTTTTTGAAGTTTTGGTATATCTGGGGATAAAATTCGATTTGGGAATGATAAAATTTTGTGGATCCCAACTGTCTATTTGCCTTCGAAAAATCCAAAACTTAAATTTAGACCACCAACAATACGAATTATTTCCAAAAAATGTATCGGAATCCCAGAACAAACTCTCTTTAAAGTATATAAGAAAGAAAACCAATTCAAAGTCAAACAAAAAGGACATCTAGCTGAATCCGATTTTTTGACATTTGAAAACTCCACTGACAGAAAAAGCTTTTAACACTGTTCAAAATGGTTTTTCACAGGCAGTGTTGGCAACGCTGAAAATGTTGTGGGTGTACGAGCTGCTGGAGTAGTAGTATTGGGGGCCTTAAGGAAAAATCGATATTGCCACAGCTGTTCGTGTACAACAAGTGAAAGGCTGAGAGTAGCCGGAAAAAGTTATAAAACTGAATATCAAAAGAACGAATATCGTATAAACAAAAGAAGACCAATCAATTGAATAAACCATAATCAAGCATTATTAAACACATAAACAATAATTGGAAAAACAAGTGATTTGGTTTTTGAAGAGTAACCGATTTTGATTATGTGGCATATGGTTGTCCTGCGACGATAGAGAAATACATCACCGACATACCATTGAATATCCTTTAGAAATATGCCCAGTTCAAGGCGTGCCATTTTGGGGCACATCATGTCCGGATTGTGCACGAAGATGAACCGCACCAAGCCTGTGCCCGCTGATGTCATGGAGACGCCCTTGAAGCGATGCCTGACCACCTTTGATATCGCACTTTTGGGTATACACGCATCCATCTCACCTATAAGAATATATTCTTAATTTACATCATATATATTTATATTTTGTTTGTGTTTACTTACAGGAATTGGACATATGGTGGGTGCGGGCATCTATGTTCTAACTGGAACTGTGGCCAAGGAAATGGCTGGACCTGGCATCATTTTGTCGTTTGTGCTCGCAGGATTCGTCTCCATGTTGGCGGCGCTGTGCTACGCGGAGTTTGGCACTCGCGTGCCCAAGGCCGGATCGGCATATGTCTACACCTATATATCAATCGGTGAGTTTTGGGCATTCGTCATTGGCTGGAATATACTGCTGGAGCATATGTTGGGCGCCGCATCGGTGGCACGCGCCTGGAGCGGCTATGTCGACTCCATGCTGGGCGGCTGGATAGCCAATACGACGCTCTCGCTGATGGGCGGCATTCATGAGCCCGGCCTGGCCCAATATCCGGATGTGCTGGCCTTTCTCGTGTGCATTGTCTATGCGGCGGCATTGGGCAGCGGCGTCAAGGCGACTGCCGTCTTCAACAGCATCCTGACCCTGGTCAACATTGGCGTCATGATGGTAGTCATCGGCGTGGGCTTCTGGTATGCGGACACCAATAACTGGTCCGAGGCTCAGGGCGGATTTCTGCCATTCGGGTTTGGCGGTGTGATTGCCGGCGCTGCTACCTGTTTCTATGCATTCGTTGGCTTCGATTCGATAGCCACAGCGGGCGAAGAGGCCAAGAACCCGTCCGTATCCATACCCATTGCCACCGTGCTGTCCCTGTGCGTTGTCACACTCGGCTATATACTGGTGAGCGCCGCACTGACGCTCATGATACCCATCAGTGACATTAATCCGGCTGCCTCGCTGCCGGAGGCCTTCGGGCAACTGCACCTGCCCTGGGCCAAGTACATAATTTCGATCGGAGCAATCTGCGGCATGACCACCACGCTGCTGGGCTCCCTATATGCCCTGCCCCGCTGCATGTACGCCATGGCATCGGATGGTTTGCTCTTTAGCTGCTTTGGCCGCATTAACGCAAGCACCCAAGTGCCTCTATTGAATCTGATCGTCTCCGGGCTGCTGAGTGCTGCCCTGGCATTGGTGTTCGACCTGGCCAAGCTGGTGGAGTTCATGTCAATTGGCACTCTGCTCGCCTATACTATTGTCTCCGCCAGCGTTATAATATTGCGTTATCGACCCCTCCCACATGTGGGTACTCCCAATCCCGTTTATGCGCCCGATACGCCCGATGATGAGAACGACGAGGATGCCGATTCACAGTCCAGCATTGACACAGCTTCGCCCACAAGCGATCTCATCGAAGGCGCCCTTGCGGGTCGCCTCAAGCCACAGTTCCGCTGGCTTGATCCGCTGCTGGGTCGCTTTGCGCCCGGTTCTGTGGTATCCGTGGCGGTGTTGCTGTTCGTTGTGTTGAGCTTCGCCATCTGCTTGGAGCTGAAGGTGTCCTGGGCGCAGCTGTACACTGGCACCTGGTGGGCATTGCTGGTATATGGTTTCATCATCTTTGCTGCCAGCACTTGTGTCGCCATCATGGCGGTGCATAATCAGAACACGCGTGGCCTGAACTTCAAGGTGCCACTGGTGCCACTCGTGCCAGCACTTGGCATATTCAGCAACATAATGCTGATGGTGCACCTGGACGCGTTGACCTGGGTGCGCTTCTTTGTCTGGGTATCGATTGGCATGGTTGTCTATTTCCTGTATGGCATGGGCCATAGCAAAGAGGGCGAGGCCTGTTCCTCGTACTCCATTCTGATGACCTCATCGGAGGCAGGTAAACTGAACTGGGGATCCTTCAAGGGTTCGAAGAATACTGCAAAGCATACCGTTCTGGAGCGTTTCCTGGGTCGCAGGAAATTGAATGATAAGAAACCCATTGTCGAGGACGAGACCGACGAAAATGCGGATAGTCCAAATTAAAGCACTTACTGGGGACATTATTATATCATCTGTATTTAGCAAAGCACAACGGTCTGTGACGAAACATCCTCGGCTATTATTCAATTGACATCGATCGAAAACCATATTTAAAAATATTTATCGCTCGTTGAAAGTAATATGTCAAAAGAACACAAATAAAAGTAATTTATATATGTTTAATCAGAGTATCTTAACTGAACAAAGCCCTTTAGTCGATGATAACGATAGCCCGATCTGAACAATTGTTAATAAAGTACCTCTCAGATTCCTGTTATGTACTACCACAAAACTGACAAAGTGTCTACCTACCTATATACTCTCTTATATTTATTGGCGTACAATAATTTAAACATATTAAAGATGTATATTATAATATATTTGAATTGTTTAATATATGCATAAATCCATATATACATATATACACTATTAAATATTTATGAAAATGAAAAATGTAGATGAATTTTCTTTGGGAAACTTAAAAAGTCGGCGGTAAATTGGAGAACATTAAACGAAATACCCTCAAACACTTTCTTATTTCGTAACATGTTGTAAAATGTAAATTTGGGGCCAACGGTATATATATGTAAAAGTGCATTTGCACGGTGTAGATTACGAAAAGCCATATCATGTAGATGGTTCGTGAACTTATTGCATTTCGTGCGAGATTGCAACGTGTGACTGGCGAATTTGAGTGCAAGGAATGTCGCGGCGCTCGTTTATAATTATCTATCGAAAATAAGCTCCATGGCAGTGATGGGAGGTGGTGGTGTGGGGAGGTGAGGGTAGAGGGCGCCACCGCGTCATCAACATAAACAAGTTCGCATCTTGATGACGCAGCCGTGATGACGCATACAATGTATGAAATACATTCACATAAAAGAGCACGCAGCTATGTGAATGTGTATATGTATGTGTCTGTGTGTATCATACGAGCCCAAGGCCTGAGATGGAGAGTGAAAAAGTGTATCGTACGAGAGCTTACGAGCTTGGCAACAACAAAATCTGTAGCTAGAATATCTTCAACAGTCGCAAACGGGTTTCCAACGCATGACTTTTTGATGGAGCGGCAAAACGGCGCTTATTCAGAAGCAGAGACAACAACTTGGCGCTATTTCGCAAGCCAAAAAGTCCGTTGGCACTGAGCTTAACGTATCTGTATTTTGAATTCAAATTCAAAAAATAACGCTCGCAGCGTGCACACATGTGTATGCTTTAATATATATGCATGTGTATGTATGTAAACAAGCAAGTAAATGTATGCTGCAGCTTCTTCCATGCGATATATGTATGTATGTTTGTATGTATGCAGATTGGATTTCGCAGTATAATACAAAATTACATGATATGAATATTGACCATTGTAATTGAGTCAAAGTGGGACTATTTGAAAGTGAATTATTTTCATAGTAAAACAGATTTTCATTTTGCTCTTTAGAGGTCTTCCGGCTGGCTATGTGATGGCCCCTAAAAACCATATTCATGACTACGCGCCTGTACCAATGCCATTGACAAGTTTTGCTCTGCGAGATTCGTGTATTGAAGCAGCACAAGGTGATAGGATGGATGCCGGCTGTTCAAAAACGCAACCTTATGAAGCAGAAGTACCAAATGCGATGCGATGCGATGCGATGAATTCAAAATGTACAAACAATAGGTATACGAGGTTTAGTTCAACTGTTTTGAACAGTTTAATATTTTAAAAAGTAGAAGGTTAAAAAGCTAATGTGTCTTTGGCAGTAAGTGAGCTTAAGACAACCGTTGCGTTAGAGTACAAAGCCTTTTCTCCCATCATCTTCTATTTTATAGGTTAAACTTACTTGACAAGAATCGCAAATGTCCAAACTTTTAGGGCGCACCTCGTGTTTGTATCGGCAGATGAATGCATACATACAAACATATGAATGTTCTTCGGTTGCATGTCTGTACGAATGTATGTATACTTGGAAATCACCTTGCAACAGCTGCAACATCCTTGGACGTACAGCCATCCCTCACAATTTAGGGGTTGATGATGCAGACGCGGAGTCCGGGAAATGGAAATCTACCTGTAGTTGTAGTTGTCTTTACCTGCATACATACAGATAGAAATATGCGTTGCGTACATGTGCATGTGTGTGATCTGCTGTGCTCTGGCATAATTCCTGTGTAGGCCAATGATCTGTATTTTCGAGTTGCAGCTGCTCACCGAAATCATAAACTGCGCCGCGCACATCGAATAATTGTTGCAGGCATTTCTGCAAGTATACTGTACATACATACATACATATCACTGTCACATGCATAGGTATGTACATATACTATAACATCGATATGTATTAATTCATATCGATAGGAGATCATAACATGATTTCGCTAATATATATCATCTTTAGTGAAAGTGAATCATGGCATGCAAATGAAAGGTGTACTGATTTACTGTCTAGATACATACAAATGTTTGTACTCAATACGTGAAGATCGCTCTAGCTGATACAGTAAGCGTCTTTCGGTATTCACTGTATGAGTATGTGTGTATGCATGTATACATGTTTGTATGTATGCATACACATTCGTAGCATAGGGGTAGTTTTAAAGCATTGAAAAGAAATAAGACGCTAGCATATGGCATTCAAAATCAACGTTTCATTCTCAAAGTAGAATTTCCGTATACATTTAATTATAAACGTAAACGTACAGGCGTGCAATGCGAAGGCAAACGCTTATATTTCAACGTTCCACGCAATTGTTTTCGAAAATAACGTCGCACTAGAGCAAACTTTCTCACACATACCAACGCAAGTGTGGCAAATGGAGCCCTGGTAATGTTTCAATTCCAGTCGTTCTATTAATGTTAACGCGCATCAACTGTAGAAGGTTGTTCATTGAGCATGTACATGCGTCGTATTAGCTGACGTCACAGCGTAGATACATATGAAAAACAGCAAAATCTGCTAAATGCAAACAAATATTATTTGAAGCAATAATATTTATTTGCTTCTACGTACTTATTTATATAATTAAATCTGCGATTATATATTGAAAATAGTAATAGCAACGTAAACGAATGCCATTATCAATATACATATATACATATTGCACCAATAAAAAGAGCAATTTCTAAAAGTTATACGTGTTCTCTGATAACATATACAAGAACAGTTGCTGTAGTTGAGCGAGTGACGTCACGACGTCTGGCTTTCTTATCTCTCGCTGAAGCTCACAACCTCTCGGCCCGTAGCCACGCGTAGCATACATAAGCGAAACGAATATGAGAATTGGAACCATTTACATTTCGGAGAGCAGAGCAGACAGTCGGGCGCGTTTCGTTCGTTTTCGCGTGTACGAGTGAGTGAATTTTTGTATCGTTCGATTTGTTTTAAAATCGAAAACAGCAAGCAACAACAACTAACGCGAAATAATATTCGTTTATTAAAAATATTTCGCAACCAATGTGCTGTATTGCGTCAACCAAGTGAAATTGAAGTCAGCACAAAGATTCGAAAATAAAAATATATTACTCGTACACACAAACACACACGCATACAAACAGAAACACACGCACGCACACACATATACAACATACAAAACGTACACAACTCAAAGAAAAGACAATGAAAATGCCAATCGTGAGCTAAAGTCAAACAGCAGTTAGTAAGCGAGTTAAAAGCAAAAACTGTGATAATTGTGAGCTGGCAAGCAGTGCATAAATAACATTTGGAACCACAACAACAAGCAACAAAATGGATAGCAGCAGCAATACGAATGCAGTGGAAGGCAACAAAATAGTCAACTATACGCTGCCAACGACTCTCTCGGCATCTGCTGAGAGCAGCAGAAACAACAACAACAACAACAGGAGGAACAACAGCAGCGACGCATCGTCCGCTCTGACTGCAGCTGGCAGAGAGCAACGCCTGACGCCCGCATTAACTGTGTTTACATCAGCCGCATCAACGCCCACCTCCAGCCACTCCTCCCCATTCGCAATGTCGACGCCGACAAAAGAGTTCCCGAACGCGCAAATGTTGCGCACAATTAGAGAGAAGCTGATGCGTACGCCCGGCGGCGTCTGTGAGCTGCACGCTTTGAGCTTTGCGGAGCAGACGAACCTCCATGGCAGCATGAACGCCTTTGGAGTTGGCGGCGAGCAGCCCGTGAAGGTGATCAAGAACCGTTACCTGATAAGTGCCCAGCCTAGTCACATCTCAGCCGCGGCAGCGGCCAAGACGCCCGCCTCATATCGCCATCTGATCGATCTGACGTCATCGAATCTGCAATGCGTGGACGTCTTCACCGGGGAGCAGTTCCTTTGCAAGATTATCAACGAGCCGCTGCACAAGGTGCAACGCGCCTACTTCCAGCTGGAGCAGGACGAGCAGCTCTGCCGCAGCACCATCTACGGGCACACGCTGATCCGAGGTGTGCACGACCTAGTGCCCCTCTCCAAGAACCGCACCTACATCATCATCGCACCCGTCCAGCAGACCCAGCAACGTGTCTATGAGAACCTCCACACGTACATCCGTCACGAGAAGCGTCTCTGTGAGCCGGAGGCTCGAGCCATATTCCATCAGATCTGCCAGACGGTGCAGGTGTGCCATCGCAACGGGATCATCCTGCGCGACCTCAAGCTGAAGCGCTTCTACTTCATTGACGAGGCGAGGTTAGTATCTGTATCCACTCGGATAATTGTAATTGTATACCCTACACGAGGGCATTCTAATTTTGTCATGACTTATGTAACGCATTGAAGACAAAATTGATAATACTGAGAATCGGAAAGACGAGTTGCATCGATAAAGTTTAGATAGCTTTTTATACCCTTACCCAGGCTATATTAGTTTTGTCAATGAATATGTAACAATTAACCGTCCGTCTGTTTTAAGACTTGCTACGTTTTATCTTTTTTTTTTACAAAATGTTTCAAATACAAACTTAAAATCGTACTCCCATAGAAACATCTAAAATTATGTAGTACGAAAAAGTTTTGGACTAATACCATATTTTGGAAAAGTTAGTTGGTTTAGTATATTATATAGTTTTATATAGAGTGAATCGGAACTATATATAATAATATAATAAAACAACTATAGTACAGTTTATAAATTGAAGATTACCTAAGATTTAGACGTTTGGAAAAATTTGATAACAAAAAAAAATCGTGCAGCATAATTCACGGCAAAACTTAAATTAGATATAGTTTTAATGGATTTTTAATATTTATATGTCTTGCAAATTATAACTTTCTTCATTATTGGAAAGTAATTCACTATGAAATACTTCCAAAACTGTGTGACTGTATAGACTTTAATCGGATAGAGTGTAGCTTTCTTTTACCCACTTTTGCTGCTAGAACTAGTTTATTGTTTTGCTTTTCTAAAGCTGGCAACACTGTTGGACTCGTATGTGTTTAACATCCACATAGAGTACGCTGAGCGACACCACTGCATAGAGTTCATATATGAACATATAAGAGTAGTTCCAATTCTAGCATATTTATGTATTTACCGTACATACATAAATATGTATGTATGTATGTACATGTGTTGATGGCTTTCGTAATCGATTGGTGGTGACCCTACCCCGGCACCCGCATGTTGCCCACCAACAACAACGGCAACATCAACATCGGCTCACACACTCACTCACACCTCGCACACATTTGCTCGCTGTACTGGTTGCATATCTTTATTTTGCAATTCGATAAAAACTCGTTATGAGCAACAGTTGTTGTTTTTTTTTGTTTGTGTGTTGGTGTTATTGGTGCCACAATTGTTGCTCTTGTTATTGGCCGACGTTGTCGTTGTTGCTGTTGTGTTCGGTGTCGGCCAGTTGTGGGTAACATTGAACATTTAAGAAGTGTTGCAATAATAAAAAAATAAAAAAAAGACCAATAGATCAACAGCAGCGACAATACGCCTGTATATGTATATATCTGTGTGTGTATTTATACAGTCAGCTATGGGAAATTACTGTAGCTGATGAAATACATCGGCTCCAAATAGAATATTGCGTTCTTTTATGAAAAACGTTTTGCGTGTTCAATATTTTGGTCAATACTGTACACACGAAACACTGATAATACAGTAAAAACAACAACAAAAAAAACTGTGTACATATGTATGTATGTATGTATATCTGGAGCGTACAAAGTGCTCGCAGCGAGGTTCCTACTTTGTACTCATTTACTTGTTTGTATGTGTGTCTGTGAGTACACTTATACGTGAGTACAGTACACGTCGAAATGTTAGGCTCACCTTCAAATTTGTCTGTGTGCTTGCAAAATAATTCATTTTTGTTTTTTTTATTTACAATTGCACATACGTCAGACGTGTGTATGTTTATACATTCACATGTATATATTCTTAATCTTGACTCGTGGCGAACGGAAAAACTTTTCTTTTTTCGTACCTCGCTGTCTCTGCTGTACCTGTTGATTTTGAGAGACACACAGTCGCAAATCGGTTTCTCTAAGTAAATGTTGGGTATGTGTATTAGTGTGTGTGTGTGTCTGTATAGTTCTTACGAATGAAGCAATACTTGTTGAATGTTTTTGAACTTTTTGCGTTAGTATTGTTTTCACGTTTCCATTGCCAATGCAATTAGCAAATTTATTGCATTGACGTTTTCCGCTATTCGTGTTGCCAACTTGTTTTTACATATGTACATACATGCATACGTATTAATTTTGTATACTCTGTAATTTAGGAATTCAAAAAATGAGTCTATAATAAAATCATGCAAGAGTTCACAACAGCTGATAAATGTTAAATGCTTTCGTAAACAATCAAATATGTATTATCATCGTATTTCATCTATTATATGTACAGAATTAGTATTTGTTGATTGTTTATTTTATGTCTGGATAAAAGCTACGCAGAAAGTCTTGTATATACATATATGTATGTATATGCATATGGACGTGAATAAATATTTTTTCACAGATAAACAATTTTTGTATACTAGTATACATGCATACATCTGTATTATTCACTTAAGAGGCATATTTCCTTGCATATTATTGACTCTTGACTCAATTTTAATTATCTCAACAAACATTAAAAGCAGTATTTTGTGTGTACATAGTACACATACATATATATGTATGAAAACAAAAAAGATGCTATATATTTTGGGTTGAATGTACTTATTTGCAAGAATGTGTATAAAAATAAATGTGATTGTAAAAATATAAAGACAAATACATATATAAATGAATATAAATCATACTTACCCAAGTCTTCGATTGGCAGGCGTGTATTAGAT